GGGGTTCCTAAAGGAAATATATTTGGTCATGTATCTGTGATGTGTGATAGTGACACTAAAGCTAGGCCGCAAGAGCTAAATGTGTGGAAAGAATATTATTTGTAGAAGAGTTACATGATGGTGACTCTTAGGCTAGGTAAGCTAATGATGTAGGGATCAAGCCCCCAAGTCTAGCTCTAAATGAATAGGGATGAGCATTGGAGATTCCTTGATATGATCATGGTGCAAGTGTGTGAATGTGAATATGAATGCATGTTTATTATGGCCGCACCTCGATGTGAGGTTGCCTACGTATCCATTAGGAATCAGGCCGAACGTAGCTCTAGCCGAACCTCGCACAAGTGTGTATACCTCAAAAAGGTCTTTTTAAGGGTTGTAACGTGGTTAGGCTAAAGGTTTAAAGAAAAAGGGGATAAAGGCTCAAGACCCTAGATAAGCCCCCAAGGTGTGCAACCTCGCTTTTGAATCTTTATAATTTTATGCTTGAGTTTCTACTCTTTTTTTTAGCTCTTTCTTTTGCTTTAGCATTTATTTCATTTTTATAAGTGTGAGCAATCTCGATCATGCGGTCTATCACTCACTTGGCATTCATGTTTCTCAGGCACGGTACCGAGCACTCGATAAGAGACGCAATATGAGACGTGTTCTTATCGAAGATATTTTCATATCAAAGACATTGGAACACTTGCCCTTTTGTACACTTTTATTTATATTTGCTTTTGCTTATATTTAATTTTTTTGAATTCACTCAAGCTTAGAATTGCATAAGTTACACACCATCCCATCCCAAGGTTAGGTAAATGTAGGTTGAAAAAAAGAAAGGTCTATCGTTAGACGAGGCTCAAAGTGGTTTATGAAGAAAGGATTTGTAAATTAGAAAGGCGAAAGGAGATATGATGTGGCTACAAGGGGTGCCTCAAATCATTGGTATACCTTGTGTTTAGCTCGACATGGATTTTTTTTTTTTTATTTTTTTTATTTATTTTTTTTATTGATGCAATGCAATGTGATGATCATGTGCAAGGAAATAGATGCTCATTTTATTAGAAGAAAATAAAGAATCTACAAAATTAACCTAAGGGAAAAGAAAGGTGCCTATGCTAGACTTATTGGGGAAAGGAAAAAATGAAAAAGAAATAGAAAAAAGAGGCCATGAAATCTTGTCGTTGCAACTCGCCTCTTGTCTTGTGTCATTCGCTTCATCATCACCCTCATTTTTTGTTTGTCAATCATATGACTCAAACTCGATTCAACACAAATGGATGGAAGAAGTGAAGAAAGATTGGAATAGAATGTGAAAGAAGATTTAGATGGAGGGATATGAAGAATTAGGAATAGAATGTACCCCCAACTCAAATGACAGAAAAAGACCGACTCATGCATGAACCTAGGACATGGTCATGGTGATGTGTACTCAAAGTGTGTGCTAAGACTAGTGAGTGTAGGTGACATGTTGAGACTCGTGTCATGACCATGTGGCTAGACTATGTGACTAAGACTCGATTAATGACTCAACAAGGTGTTATTGACAGCGAAAATTAACCGAATTAATTAGCAAACTGGTTAATTAGACCCTAGGTGATGACTCGACCAAAAATCCGAACTGTCGGCCAAGCGACAGGACTGGTGTCGCATTATGGTGATTGGCGCCAGAAAATTTAGTAAATATCTGGCGCTACACACTATAATGTGGCGCTGCAGCTCAGACTTTGGCGCCAATATTGGAGCTTCGGCCTGGGACTGTTTTCGGTATTATTAGTCAACTGGGGTATGCCTAAAGTCGTACTAGGTCAATTCCGATTAAAAAAAAAAAACTTTATTGACTCAAATTAATTAATTAAATAGGCAAAGTTCTTTAAGTCATTAATTTTAGTCTCAACACAAATCAACAAATGGTTAAGAGAAACATAGAATGTATATGCACAACAAATAATGCACAATTAGTCAAGTAGGCACAATATGATGCAATGAGTTTGTAACCTAACCATGGCTCTAGCTCTCTAAAGTTCGGGATATGGTTTAGTCAATAGAGGGTCCATGGTTAATTGTCCGGATGCACCGCGCGGAAGCCTAACCGTGAAGGGTTGGCGCAAGTGGATGGGACACCGCGAGTTTTAGAAAAAACTCACTTCCATGGTTTGGTGAATTCAACATCTCGGATGTACCCTTTGTTGCCAGGAGCGTTCAATCGGGTAGATGGAGCATGAATTCCCAGAGGGTTATGTCCATATGTAGAACACATATGGGTTTCAGAAAAGTGAGAAAAAATTCAATCAGGAAGTAGGATCGAGCAAACAATACGAAAAACCGGTCGAAATTAGAACGCATATTTCTGGCTCGGTATTGGGGGAAATTGGCGCCAGCAAACAGAGACTGGCGCCAACTTTTAACTGTAGCACCTGGCGCCAATACTGGCGTCTGGCACTACGGCTAAAAGTTTGGCGCCAAGCTCTAGCCCCTGACGCTACTTCCCACATGCCTCAGCAGCTTTCTGTGCTCGATAAAATCTTCCAGTTTCGCGCGGTGTTATTTCAGTCCTAGTTGTGAAAGACATTCCTCAAATTTCCTACGTGTAAAATCCTATATTTTTGACTCATTACGGATGGTCTTTCCAATGAGAACCTTTTTATGCATATGACAATAATGTTAATCAAAATTACGCACATGAAATACTTAGAACTTTTCAAGTCTCATACACTCATTCTAAATCATTGTCGAAACAAATTCAGGAATTAAAATAGAAATCCTCCCCAGTGGAGTCGCCAAAAACTGTAGGGAATAATTTCAATCCTTTAAATCCCACTAGCTCGAACCCCGCTGTGATCATACACTAAAGTACGGTGGCGTCCAAAAGGGAAGAAAATAGAGAAAAGAGTCGCCAACAAGTTTTTTTAGGAACTTGTAAACCATTCACGAGGTGAAGGTTACACCCCTAAACGATCCAAGAGATCGTCAACTCCATAAGGTCATGAACCAAATAAGGGTTCGGGGATGAAGGTACAAATCCAACCTAAAAGAGATTGAACCTGCCCTAATAATAGACCTCTACTTTATTCTGCTCGTATTCATGTGCGCTTTCTGATTAACATGCAATCAATAGGATAACCCTAAACCTGTTTAATCTATGTTGGTTGAATATTAATGCACAAATATACTATTATTGGCGATCACTTGAATTATAATCACATTAACCCTAAACAAGATTATCAATTATCTTATTAAGCGTGATTACAAGTACCAAATTCCCTTTAAACATGCAATAAAAGGCGTGATCAAGCAATAAAGAATAAATAATGTATCAAGCAACATAATCAATAATAATAATTATTATAATAATCATAATAATAATCATAAATAAAATAATCATTATCAAAATAATAATAATAATAATAATAATAATAATAATAATAATAATAATATTCATAATCATCATAAATTATAACAATTATAATCATAATCATGTTCATGTTAATATTAAAGCATAATAGTAGCAAGATCCTAGGCATGATACTAACAAGATTAATAACAAACCCTAACATGTTACTAAGCAATAAAAATCAAAGCTTTAACCCTAACATGATACTAACAATCATAAATATTAGGAAGAACATAAAAGGCATCATAGCAATCATATTTAATATTAAAAATATCCTAGACATGATACTAGGAATATCATAATAACAATGTAAACATGATATCTACATCATATTATCAATAAATCAATTGAAGTACTTACTTTGATGCCTCGTACCTCTTTCTAATAACAAAATACACACGTTAGTAACTTCAAGGTAAATAATAAACAAAACAATTAAATTAACTAATTGAAATAGAGATTTGGGACCAAACCCTCAGAAATTAAAACGTTTCACGCCTAGGGCGAAGGCAACTTCGAATATGGCTAGGTGTTTCTAGATCTTGTGAATGCGGAATTTTGTATGAAAAAACAAGAAAGAATTGAATTCTAAAGAACTAATGTTTGTTGAGAATTGATGAATTGGTAGATGTAGATGATGAATGATGAATGAAAACGGAGTTTTTAATACGATATTTATAGAGAAAATCAGCCAAAAAAGATAATTTAACAAAACAGAGTCTGACGATTGCAAAACAGGATTGGCGCCAACCCTGGCTAGCTGGCGCCAGGCACAAGTGGCTAGCGCCTGGCGCCAAGGCCTGGGGTTGGACGCCAAACTGGATTTCAACGCGTTTTCAAAAATCTGATAAATTTACCGTACTAGAAGATAAAATAATATGATTTCTTCGAAAATGCTATTTGATCTTGATTAAAACTCTGAAAAGTCAACAAAGTCAATTTATCAATGCTAATTGAATTAGGAATGAAAAGAACCTTCTAGAAGATTCTAGAAGACTAAAACCATTCCTAATTGCATTAGGAATGATAAATCATATTAGGCCCTCCCCTAGATCATTGAGCCGTACATAAAGCTCAAACCGGGCCCAGTTTAGTAAATTGGCCATAACTTCCTCAATATTCATCGGAATTGGGCTTATAATATATCGTTGGAAAGGTCTTTGCAAGCCCCTTCCAACTACATCACTATTGGACCCATATCATGGACCAACCAAATTGGATTGGCTATTTTCTTAAAATAAAGTTTTCCAAAACAGGGAGAAGAGAAAAGAAATAAAACTTTCCGCAACACTAGAGCTTTCCACACTTTCGTTTCATTCGACTATGTTTCGACGTGAAAGGTACTCATCACCGGGTTTGGTTTTGGGGAGACACAAATGGGTATCTACACATACCCTATATAATTTCTTAAACTTTGTGAACAACCTACTGTTGCGATTAATATTTAACGAATGGAGTATATTTAAAATTGTGTTTGAGAAACGGTAAAAAATCAAATAATAGGCCAAATCATAAGTATTTGTAAGAAAGGAATTCTAAGTCACATATCATAATGGGCCATTAGCCCACATTAAATCCATTACCGTTACAATCAACGCTAGTACTTGTATTTTTTTTTTTTTTTTGAAACTCAAACTGTTAAACTTAAACCCCTCATTTCATTCAGTTCTTGGCTACCCAGTTTCCATTTCTACAACTCTGCCGTTTTCTTTTCTTGCTTATTCTTCTCAAATCAAAGGTACCATTTTCTCTCTCCTCCATTTTCCTTCTTCCTTTCTAAACTCATCTCTCATTTCATCATTTCCCACCATTTTTATAGCTCTTCATCAATGGCGACTTTGAGGACAATCGGAGGCAAATGCAGAGCTTTAATGGCGGCCGCAAAGGCCTCCACTGCTGCTTCCGTTGAATCTTCAGCTACCAAGACTACTGCTGCTAAAAAATCGAAGCCCGTTTCTGCTGCTAACGCTACTAGGGGTATTTTGAAGCCTGTTCCTGTTTCTCCTACTCTCAGTCAATTCATTGGTTCTAACGAAGCTTCTAGAACTGAAGTTGTTAAGAAGATTTGGGATTACATCAAGCTTCACAATCTTCAGGTATTTTCATTTTTTTTGATTAAGTTTTGTTTAGGGTTTAGGGTTTAAGGATTAGGGTTTTAGGGCTGCTTGTCTTAAAATTAGTCACATTTTGATTAATTTGTTTGATCTTTGATGATTAATTGGTTTTAGGGTTTTCTTTTGATGGTTAAATATGTTGATTAGGAAGATTATGCATTATGTCTTGTTTATGATTACATAATGGATGCCATTTGTTGTTCTGGTCGTGATGTTTGATAATTAGGGTTTTTGGATGTTACTTTGAAATTGTTTGTTGGTATATTTAAGTATTAATTTGTTAATTGAGGAGAATGTGAGGGTTTATAGTTTAGTTTAGTGGGAGAAGTGTGGAGGTGTTTTTTAGCTGCTTTTGATTGTGTTTTGTGATATTCTTCATTAGATATGTATATATAGTACTCCATTCAAAGATGAATGGATTTAAGGCTGTCATCCTCATGAATACTAGCAGTTGCGTCGATGTTGAAAACTGGCGAGTAATATCGAATTATTACTTCATCATCATGTACATAATATGAAAATATAGTAGCTGACTGGATTGATAATGTGAGTAGCAAACAGCATGGGCATAATTCAGTATATTTGCTTATTTAAAGCCTAAGCTTGTTGTGAAACAGAACCTTCCTATACATAGAATGCCTTTAATCGCTCGTTTCCTCTTAAATTACATAAGATTTACTACGTATATGCAACCATATGATAGTTGATTGGAAGGTTGATGGGAAAGAGAGCTGTGTCTCACATCGGTAGATTTTCAACCAAACAAACAATGTTGTAGGCATTTTAGATAATCTCTATGTATTTCATTATTTCAATTTTGAATTAATGTCGATGGAAATGGTGACTGTAGAGTTATTTGAGGGATTGGCTGATTGACATGCTTTGTGTGGATGTATTTTCATGATAACCATTAGGAAATTTATTGGAATCATACAATTTATTTGACAATCTGGTGTAACTTCCTCTTATCCCTGTTGGAAGTATCAGGTGTATCAGCATATTGAAATTATTTGAATATAAGTTTTTTTTTTTTTTTTTTTTTTTTTTTTTTTTTTTTTTTTTTAAATATGGCCTATGCTTATAGCGTCAATATAGCTCTCTGAAGGATTGAAACACTCTCTGCTGTTTGTGATTGCTGATTGAAAATTCATTCAAACAAATTCATGTTGAATCAATTAGTAGTATATATTTTACTTTTACATGATCTATGTGCGTATGATACAATTAGCTAAGTTAATTGTTGATGGAGGACGTAGCTTGGTTCTTCAAATTTAGGATTCTGATGCAAATATAGTTCAATTAACAATAGTAATTTTAGGCTTGAAGTTGTTTTGTTGTCTACCATTGCTATTTTCTGCCATGTGAAAATGTTTATCAAGATTTTGTGTGGATATAATTTCATATAGCTGACCAATTTGATGCATTCTTAAGTTTGAACATGTACAGATTTGGAACTTGACTTCTCTTTTCAGCCTTCTCTTTTGCATTTCAGTCTGGCTTGTGAATGTGTTTTTCTGATAATATGTATCAATTATCATTTATGTATTACTAAAGTCTGAAAATAAAGTTGTCTTCTTTTAGACATATTATAATCTTCAGAATAATCCATGTAGTTACTTGTTTGGAATGTATTGAGGCTTGTGTTTCCCTTTGACTTCTTGTGCCCTGTTTGCTTGATCGTCATCTGCTTTTGCATTTTCTCTGATTAGTAGGTTAATGATATCACTTGAAATGCATGTTATTTTGCTGCTATTGATTGATTGTAGGAGGTGAATGTCTGTCTTAGGAACTCTCCTTGTCATTGTCAGCGAAAATTGATGTTTATTTTCTTCAATGTTACTGCCACAGGGCAACCCTCTTTCTTTATGATTATTGGTTTCAGAAAGGTTTATTAAAATTAAGATTTGAGTATCTCGTAGTCTGTACTTGATCTTTTCATGGCCTTTGCTTTACACGGGCTTATATTGTTAAATTGCTTTTTCGCAGAATCCTGAGAATAAGAAGGAAATAATATGTGATGAGAAGCTGAAAGTGTTGTTTAGCGGGAAGGATAGAGTCGGTTTCCTGGAGATTGCAAAATTGCTGTCTGTGCACTTTGTTAAGACCGCTTGACTGCTTGACCATGCCTACGGATGGAGGAAAGACATTGATGAAATATGCTAGGTTTTTAAGTTTTAGGGGGTTGATAATGGAGCCTGTAATGTAGGTTTTTGTGCATCGCTTTAGTTGTCCAGTTTGATGTACTAGATTGCGCTTTTATTCCACATTTCAATCCAAATGGCTTAACTTTTGAATGAATTGTGTAATATGCAAGCTTAAGCAACTTGATCGCCTTTGGAAATCCTCTTGAATGTATGCAAGTCTGGGTGTATATTAAATACTACTATGTGTTTGCTAAATCTAGATCAAATTATTTGACAATGAGTTTAGCATAAAGTAGATGTATGGCTTTACAAGAGTTACTTAACAAACTAAAGCTCATTAACAAAAATCATGGTACGTCTTGTATGCAACGGGTGTATTGTATACAATAAGTTTAGTCATTCCAAATCTTGTAAAGACTTGTCTTTTGTCTTTTATGAAATTGACTTTATATGGTATACTATATAAAATGAAACGAATAAATTTTTTGTATACAAAACACGTGTTCAATATACATTTTTATAAAATCCGCTCAAACGTTTTTCTTTTTCCCCTCCCCCCACCCCACCCCCCAAATTGTAGGCATGGGATAAACTAAAAAGTAACACTACTTGAAATTTCTAAGTGGCTGGGGAAGCCCACTAGTAATTGGGACGAAATTTCCACCCAACACAAAGAATAGCTTCGAAGACTTTCAAGTCAACTTCAACAAGAGAAAACTTCATTACTTCTGAATCTTACCCAGAAATGGTTTTTGTTCTTTTGCCAAGCTACTTCCCTTCTTAACTTCAACACTAGATCTTGTTTTTTTTGGTGTTTAGAGAGCCACAAGGGCGGGGGGGTGAGAATCGATCCCAAGACCTCCTAGAATCGGGAGGGAAGCTCTAACCACTTGAGCTATCCCTCACTCTCAACACTAGATCTTGTAAGCATATTATATTTACTTTGATTGTATTTTAATTTTATCTTCTGCTCATTTATCATTTTCTAATGTAATAAATATAATCTATGGCTTTTACTTTACATTTTAATGCTTATACTTGATGAATTTTTGTTTCTGTTAATTATTTAATAACATTTAAGTATTGGAAATTATTACAGAGGACTTTCTTTATTTTTATATTTTGTGGATTGAATTTCTCTAAGATTTGGTTGTTCTTGTAAAAATGATGTATTTTTGCTTAACTAATAATTATGCTAAAAAAAATTTATGTGATCTTCTACAGTTGCTTTCTTCATTTAGCAAAGGCTTTTGGGAATTCTCTTCATCAAATTATTTGGTTAATCTGGTAATTTAATAAGTTATATTTCTTGCTTTTACACTTTATTATCATTTTGTGTAGTTCATTACATACATAAACTAGTTAATAGGTTCATCTTTATGAAATAAGAACCAAATTTGATTGTATCAGCTTGTGTATTTCTAATCCCCAATTATATTGGTAAAAAAAGTTGTGAATATTTATTTGATAAACAACCTAGAATATAGATGACTGAGGATATGGTCTGATTGGTCTCTGAGAGATCGAGACTGCTGTTGCTGTAGTATAGCTGAGTTAATTGGTTGTTATATACTGGTTTTCGATAATGAAGGGTTTGAGACTTTGAGGCATGGAGTTAAGAGGAAATTATACTTGGATTTTTGTCTAAAATAATATCAGTCGATATTCTATACTTAATGTAATCTTCAATGATTATTAAGGAAGGAAGAAGTATAGAAATTTCTGTAATGCTATGTCTTAAATTTCTGTAGTTGGGCCAAATTTTAGGTTTTGAATTTACTTCAAGTCATTCCACAAGTTGTTTGCTTGAATATGGATAACTATAGTGTAAAGTTTACATGATTATAAGAACAAAAAATTCGATGAATATCAAAATTTAGTCCATGTAGACTTATCGTCCTGAATTTTGACAGACTGACTTGTAGGTGCTGCAATGGTAAGAGAGTTGTCCACATTGTTATTAGCAGGAACTGCTACTGGGACAATACAGCCTGTGACTGTATGGAACGGAATCAAAGCTGGGAAGAAAATAATAGAATTTATTGGTGAAGTTCCGGAGTGGATTAACTATAATCAGAACCTTGAAAATCATCTCCGACTTCTTAAGAGGAAAACGGATTGCTTAGAGAGTAGAGAAGCTGATGTTGTAATAGAGCTTGAAAACACTGAGCATCAGAGTGGCAGGAAGCGAAAAGGGGAAGTTAACCATTGGTTGAGGAGGGTAAGGACTAAAGTTACTGATGTAAAAAAAGTTGAAGATGATATTAACACGGTGAGTTATTTGCCAAGATTTCTCTTTCGTGCATGGTTAGGGAGTTGTATAGGAAAGGAAATCGATCAAGTAAACGATCTTGTACAGCAAGGTTCATTTACTACGGGACTTCTACTTGATGCACCCCGAGATTGTGGAGGACCTTTAGTCACAAGTGACTTAAAGGGGGTAGTTGTGGCTCAAAAGTTGGATGAAATTTGGGAGCATCTCATCAGCCCTTTAACTGTAAGGATTGGTGTTCAGGGACCTGCAGGAATTGGGAAAACTGCTGTCATGGCTCATATCTTTAACCGATTATGCTCATCTTGTCGTGTTTTTTATGTTAATGTACCTCAAGACTTCAGTATTTATAGCCTTCAAGCTAGCATTGCGGAAGAATTGAAGGTTGACCACCTACCACAAACAGAAGGAAGTGAAATCAGGAGGGCAGCTAGGCTATGCCAAGCATTCAAATCAATGAAAGAATTTGTTCTTATATTAGACGGTTTACCCAAAGACTTTGCTATCGAGGATGTAGGCATCCCTTTGGAAGGAAACAAAGGGAAAATAATTGTGACATCTCAATGTCTCAATGTCTGTAAAAGAATGTTGTGTCAAGAAACTGTTGTGTTGGAATCCCTGTCTCAAGAGGACTCAGAGAATTTGTTCATGGAGAAATTAGCATCAGATATTCCTATTTCTGAAGATATTAGGAATATTGCTCGCGATATAATTCAGAAATGTAATGGCATACCATCGAAAATTATCGATATGGCTGTCCGACTAAGAGGAGCTCCTGATGTGAATGAATGGCTGGACACATCATCTGATATGTGAATTCACTCTTGCCATAAAGATGTATTAGCCCTATAAACACGCGATGTGTTTGTCTAACATATGGATATCAACTCTAATACAAGTGTGTCTTATTGTACTACGTATTAAAACTACTAATATTGGTTGATTATAGTTCAAATAATAACTTTTTTGACAGTATTGTATTTGTTAATATACTATCTCCTATGCTGCTAATCTGCTATACCTTCCTCTTTAAAATTTAATGTATGATATACTTTGAATTTGTAATTCTTTATTGTTATAAATGCAGGATTGGTAATTCATTCAAAATTTCGATTGCATAAGACAGAATTCCCTCTTGAAATTGATTAATTGAATATTGATTTTGTTCTATACAATTTTTTTTTTCCTTATAATTTTTTCATTCTAGTGTTGGTAACCATAATTAAGCTTTGGAAGACATCTTAAATTCCCTTTTTCGTTTTTGGAAGACTGCAATCAAGATTTGAACGAATTGGTAGTTTTCTTTTTTCTCATGATTTCTTACCAATTCTTTCAAATCAAAACAGTCTTAGTTTGTCCTTACTACTAGGCCAACACTTGTTTGTTAAAGCATGAAACTTTGATGCTATAGAATACACTTCAGTGTTGGTACAACACAAAAATTTCAGACATTATTTTATAAAAATCCGGCTAGCTGAACCCACCCCGAATACTCGAGTACCTGATGAAGAATGGCTAGGTAGTGAAAGGGAAATAGAGGGTGCACTACGTACACGAGTCCGGTCAAGGGACATCCTAATCACTTGCTGGTTCCTGGTCATTCCTGTGAGGTCTGAGTTGGGTATCCTGCAACGAACAGCGTCTATCATGTCATTGAGATTTTCCTTCCAGACCCTAATGTCATCATCTACTCCTCTCAGTTCTCTGGCCTTATCAACAATTTTGCCAGGCACGCCCCAACATCGACGAACAATTTCCCCAGCTACATCTTGCACTGGGGGCTCAAGCTCTGATGCAAGTTTAAGTTTTTGCTTAAACAACTCTAATGCTTCATTTTCTTGAAGTCGGTCCATTTCTATAATGGCTCGACAACCTGATCTTCTACACACACTTAGAGATCGCGAAGTGATAATCAGCTGCCCTCTAATCCAATCAAGTGGTATCCCTACCTCCTCCTCCCACAAAGGCTGACTCAAACCATCTAAAATCAGCACAATGTTCCTTTTGTGTTTCATTAATGCATCATACAACAAAGCTGTCCGTTTCAATTTGTTTTCTTCCTGAAAATTGATATCTAGAGCTTTCGCAATTTCACCCTGCAGATCAAATTCTGTGTCATCCTCATGTACTTGAATCATGTATACATTTGCTTCGCCTCTTAAAAGCTCATTATATATATGCATCATAACAGCAGTTTTTCCTATTCCTTTGATACCATACAACCCGATATGAGAGGATCCCCTTGCTAACCATTCCAAAACTGTATTGATATGTAAGTTTACTGCAATACCAACCAATGGTGTTGTTGCATATTCCACTTTTTTGCTAACACGAACCAGCACCTCTTTGAAATCTCCTCTATCGTGAAGCTCTTCCACCTCTTGATTCTTTAGCTCAAGAAGATTTCCTAACCACGCGTGATACAGAAACTTCCAGTACTTATAACGCGTAGTTTCTCTCTTTATGTGTTCTAGCCACTGATCCAAATCAGTAATTTTAAGGTCAGCATGATTTAACCAAGCATCAACTTCTTCCTTTCGAGTCCTTCCAGTCTTAGACTCTTCATGTTCAACTCGATTTATCAGATCATTCCGTCTTCCCCACAACATATTCCTTTTGTATTTAAGTTCTTGCACGTTGGCATTGTGGTTTTTGTAGAAGTAAAACCACCGCGATAAATTGATTAGGAACTCCCATACATCCTTCAAAGACTCTGTCTCGTCTGTGATACTTGGCAACTCAATGCAGTACCTTCTGAATAAACTTGATGTAGCTAGCAACAGCGGCACTAAAAAACCGCAGCCCATTAAATTGATTAGGAACTCGAATTCATCTTTCAAAGACTCTGTCTCGTCTGTGATACTTGGCGACTCAAAGCAGTACCTTCTGAATAACCTTGATGTAACTAGCAACAGCGGCACTAAAAATACCATCAAAAAAAGCACTGCAGAAGAAGCTCAATAGTTAAACAGAAGAAGATCATATAATCATTTCATAAATGTTAACTAACAAAACAATGAGATCACAAAATTAAATTTTCTAGGAAATTTGTTAATGACTAGCTTGTATGCTAGCTGCAGGTTTAAATGTCTTTAGCATGAAGAATCAAATTTAGCATCGTAATTAAGATGTACTTCCTCTATCCCATAGATTTTATTTGGCACGTTTGCGATTTCAAAAAATTTTGATCTTAATGAATAGAAGAAATATTGTGAGATCTTGTCAAATCCGTTTCAATGAGAACTTTATTTCAAAACAATAATTTTGTTTATGCGTAACTAAATATATTAATAGTCAAAGTGTATATTGAATACGTTGCACAAATGCAAACACGAAGATCCTTAATCAAAAAATGAAGGAGATAATACAATTAGTTTTTACAAATCATAGTTCATAATAGTTAGATCATTCGTCACAAAATCAAACACCCCCATTAGTCAAATTTGGCAATAATCCAATTACAAACTCCTAATCAACACATACACGGGTGGCTTAGCTAGCAGATTAGTTGCAAATGATATAATCAAACTATCTATCACATAAATTAAATTAAGTAAGCTAAATAAGGAGCAAAGAATAAGGCAAATTATTTGAAGTCAAATCCAAAACTGAAGAACTACTTACCAAAAAAAATGCAAATAAATGCAAGGAAAACAAAGGTGAAGTGAATCATTGGAATCATTGGACAATCTGAATCCAAATTTATGAAGTTTGATGGGGAGGAGTAGGAGATTTAAGCGAGAAATTGGTCAAAAGAAGTTGATGTACAAGTGTACAACTCATAAAAACCAAGTTTACTTGGGTTGAATAGAGAAATGGGAGTAGTCAACTTTTTAAGTCTCAATCTTTTTTTCTTTTTTTTATTTGTTATTTATTATCACCCCCTTTGACTATATTTTCCTTTTTTTTTGTTTTTGAAACCGACCATATTCGTTTCCTGGAGATAATGACATGAAATTTTTTATGAAAAAACCCAAATAGAGGAGCAAGCGCCTAAGCCCCTAAATACATACTACTCCCTCCATTTTGTGATTATTTCAACAATTTTCTTTTACGTTGTTTTCTAACCTTCTGTTGTTCATTTTTTTTAAGTTGGTTTCTAACCTTATGTTTTACCAATTTTCTTTTACGTTGGTTTCTAACCTTCTGTTGGTAAAGTGAGTTTTTTTTTTTTAGAGAGTCACAAGGGCGAGGGAAGAGAATCGATCCCAGAATCTCAAAGAGGTTTGCAGAAGAATGTCATGACAAACTCTTGTTGAGTTGGCATAAGTTTGTTAGAATCAAGTTGAGGTGGACAAAGTATGTTCGAAGATATTTTGTAGTAACAGAATATAAATACTTGTAATAGTTTCCCTTTTCATTTTAATTATCAGAAAAATAGAAACACAAGTTTAGCATGCTCTTCTTCTTCTAGATTTTCTCTCTCAAAATCCTTTGTAAAAATCTATCATAAGATTGTATGATGAAGTTTTTTATAAAATGAAATTTCTTTTGATTTCTTCGCTATTGATTTGTGCTATTTCACTGTTTGATTGATGTTGATCATCAATTTTATCATGGTATCAAAGTGGGATATATAGATCCTCCTGAATTGTTCCTCATTTGGTGAGTTGTTGATTTGATTTCGTTTGATTCCGAAGATTATTGTTGCATTTTCAATCAGTTTCTGGTGTTCTTTGTTGTTTAAATTTTATAATTCTTGAGTTTTTTCTTTAAAATCTTGAGAAATGGCTACTGTTACCTTAACAAATGATCCTTCTAGTATGTATTTCATACATCTTTCTGAGAATCCTGCTAATTCTCTGACAACTGAGAAATTTAATGGAGAAAGTTACAATGAATGGAAGAGAAGTATGATGATATAGCTCTTTCTGCTAAGAATTAAATTATTTTTGTGGATGGAAGTTTACCTAGACCAGCAACTGGTTCTGAGGTTCAAGCATGGGATCGTTACAATGATTACTAGTTATATTATGCATTCTGTTGATGTATATACTTTACATCAGCTAGGGAGATCTGGAAGGATTTGGAGGATATATACTCTCAAAGTTCAGGACCTTAGCTATATATATTACAATAATATTTGAATGAATAGTCTCAAGGTTCAACTTCTGTGGCTGAATTTTTCACAAAGATTAAAGCACTTTGGGATGAGATTAATGGATTTAATCCTATTCTAGTATGCATTTGTGCTGGATGCACTAGTAATATCAGTTAGAAATTCTTACAGCACCAATATTTTGATGATGCAACCTCTTCCTACTGCTTCTTTGGCCTATAGACTGTTGAAGCAAAGGCAAGCAAGCAAGCATGGTTGATGCAAGCAACACCATGGCATTTGCAGCAAGTGAATTAAGGAAACCAGTTGTATATTATGCTGGATTCAACAAATTTCGGCCACCTGAGGCAGTACCAGAAGAACAATTTTGCACTAGAAGTTCAAAGAAACTCTAACTTTTTTTGTGATCATTGTAGGTGTCTGGTCACACAGTTGAAAAGTGCTTTAAGATTCATGGATTTCCATCTAGATTTGGTCAAAACAAATTTAAAGGCCAAAAGATTGCATCCATTGTCTATGGTGATGATGATATAGTGGAGATCTAGGAAATGAATATGAACCTGCACATATTCCAGTGGGGTAATACAACCAGTTTATGCAGATAATGAATCAAGATGGAACAGCAGCAAACTCAGGTTCAAAAATCTCAACACAGTCATCACAGAATCAGATGATCTCAGGATCTTCTTAGCACATGTGACAGGTACTTGCCTTCTGCTCCAATACCAAGTGGATTATTGATAGTGGAGCCACTGATCAAATGTGTTCATCTCTTAATTATTTTTATTCTTATCACAAATACATAAAGTATCCTAACTCCATTACAGACTTACAGTAGCTGATGGAAAGCAATTAGTGACGGTTGAGTATATAGGAACTATTTTCAAAATGAAATTAAATTGAGAAATGTCTTACATGTGCTTGGATTTCAATTTAATTTAATATCCACTCACAAGCTATGCAGAGATCTTGGTTGTGATATCAAGTTCACTCATGACACATGCATAATCCAGGATCCTATCATGAACACTTCCTTGGTTCTTGGTCAGCTAGAGTCAGGACTATATGTTATGGCAGATTCACAAGCATTTAAGTAGCAGGCTAGGACAAGACTGACAATATGGGAGTTGTATGCTTGTCTAGTTCAGAGGAAGCTAAGTTGTGGCACTTGAGAATGGGCCATATGCCTTTCAATAAGCTGCATCATGTCATCAATAGTATGTTCTTTTCTAAAATTGATTGTGATAGCATTTGTCAGATTTGTCCTAAGGCAAGGCATACTAGATTACCTTTTCAAAAGAGTAATAGCAAAACTTCTGCTTGTTTTGAATTACTTCATATAGATACTTGGGGACCATTCAGGTTGGTCACTCATGATGGTTACAGTATGTTCTTAACTGTAGTTGATGATTTCTCAAGGAACACTTGGACTTTTTTTTATAAAAAATAAGTCTGATGCTATTAAAATAATGCAAAACTTTGCTTTATTTATTCAGAATCAGTTTCATACTAGCATTATGTGTATCAGATCAAATAATGCTAAGGAATTTAATGAGGGTAACATGCTTTTGTTTTATAATTCTCATGGCATTATAAACCAAAAGAACTGCACAAATACCCCTCAACAGAATGGTATAGTTGAGAGAAACACATGGACACTTGTTGGAAACAACAAGGGCCTATATTTTCAGTCTAGATTTCCTTGTAGTTGAGAGAAGCTTTTCAAGATCCAGCATGGGTTAAATCTATGAGAAAAGAGATTGATGCTTCAGTTTCCAATGGCACATGGGAATTAGTCAAGCACGTTACCAAAGGATAAGAAGGCCATTGGGTGTAAATGGGTGTTTAAGGTGAAATTAAAGGCTGATGGAAGTGTTGAAAGGTTCAAGGCAAGGCCAGTTGCCAAGGTTTAAACTTAGAGGTATGGGATAGTTTTTGAGCAAACTTTTTCTCCTATTGTGAAAATGACAACTGCTAGGTGTCTTTTGGCTCTTACTGTCAGCAAAGGACGGGCATTGCACTAGTTGGATATCAATAATGCTTTCTTACATGGAAACCTATAAGAAGAAGTGTCCATGAAAGTACCTGAATGAATCCCAAATCCTGATAACCTTGTCTGTAAAATTAAAAGGTAGCTTTATGGTCTTAAACAGGCATCTAGACAGTGGTTTTCTTGACTGAATGTTGAACTGCTTTCAAAAGGATTCATACAATATAAGAATGACTATTCCTTGTTCATCAACAAGTCTGGTTATGAGATTACAATTGCTGCAATATATGTTGATGACATTATCTTGACTAGTTCTAATATTGCCGTCATTTTGGACCTCAAATTTCATCTGCATCATGTTTTCAGCATCAAAGATTTAAGGCAACTTCACTTTTTTCTTGGCATTGTGGTTTGCTATGTTTCTCAAGGAATTATCCTCACTTGGAGAAAATTCACTAAAGAGCTTCTACGGGCGGGATTCTAGTTTGGATCTCTCAAAAAAAGCCAAAACTCCACTTCCTGCTCATCTCAAGCTATTGACAGATGATAGTGATTCTTATCATGATCATTCTCTTTACAAGTGCTTAGTTGAGAAGTTAAACTTCCTTACACATACCAGGCCTGATATTTCATATGTTCTTTAAACTTTAAGTCAGTTCCCATAGCAGCCCGGGGTGCCTTATCTCTCGGCTTTACATCATGTTCTAAGGTTTGTTGCTGGAACTATTGGTCAAGGCATTCTGCTACATGCCACTCAACATCTCACCCTCTAGGGCAATTATGCTTTAAATTGGGCTTCTTGTCCCAACTCCAGAAGATCTATCACTAGCTACATCATGCTGCTAGGCCAGTCACCCGACCTATTTCATGGAAGTCTAAGAAGTAGGGCACCACATCTAAATCATATTATGAGGCTGAATATAGGGCCATGGCAGCTGCACCTTCTGAAATCACTTAGCTAGTAAGGCTATTATAAGAACTTGGGGTTGATAATTTGAAGCCTGTAAAGCTTAATTGTGACAATCAGGCTGCTACTCACATAGCTAAAAATCCTGTTTTTCATGAGACGACCAAGCATATAATGATTGAATGTCACTTTACAAGGGAGAAGGTCCTAGATGGTCTTCTTAATCTTAGCTATGTTCAGAGTTATGATCAATTGGTTGATCTCCTTACTAAGCCCCTTATGTCAACCTCAACATCATGATTTAAGCAACAAGCTAAGCATGATTGATTCTCAATCACCCTCTAGCTTGGAGGGGGTAATGAAGGTAGTTGTGCTTAGCTAGCTGATCAGCAGAAGTTAAATTAGAGCAGCAGAGAAGTTTCCAGAAGAATGTCATAACAAACTCTTGCTGAGTTGGCATAAGTTTGTTAGAGTCAAGCTGAGGTGGACGAATTTTGTTAGAAAATATTTTGTAGTAATTCTCAGAAAAATAGAAACACAAGTTTAGCATGTTCTTCTTCTTCTTGATTTTCTCTCTCAAAATCCTCCGTAAAAATCTATCCTAAGATTGTATGATGAAGTTTTTGATTCAATGAAATTTCTTTCGATTTCTTTAGTATTGATTTGCTGCTATTTATTGTTTGATTGACGTTGATCATCAATTTTATCACGAAGTTTTATATAAGTTTGTTAGGCATTCTATTAGAAATTCCAAAGTTTGCTACAAGTTGTAATAATTTCTAATACACTGTTGTATTGCCCAATTGTATGATTAATTGATGAGCTAATACAATTTTATGATACCCCCAAATTATCTTATCTCTCTTCCTTCTTTTTTTACTGTTTCTTCAGTTTCATAATAATTTCAATACTTCTTTATTTCATAATAAAAATTCGGGGCGACTAAAGCCTTAACATGAAATATTATACCTGAATCAGCAAAAAAACGTCAATCTTGTTGTGACAAAGAGGACTATATATATATAACATGTTTGATAATTAGCTTAGATGGCTAAATAGTCAATTTTGCTGTAAGTGGTTTGAGGTTTGAATCCTCTTATCAAGTGTTTGTGAATTACGTGGCATCATGAATTGTTAGTGAAGTGAAGTGACGTGGCGTAATTGGGAAGAGTCTACGCATGGACGTTTTTATAAACGCCTTTTAAAAGATTAGTATAGATGTTTTTAAGCCGAGAAATTGATTCTTTCACACAACATTTTGCGGACCGATGCCTGTTGCTTCATCTGAGAGAAAAGACCCAAGAGTAAAGGATGAGACTTTTGGTAATTAGCCTTATCCTAACCACCATCATCAATTCAATGAGATTCCGGATTCATCCCATCCAAGCTCGCACTTTTTCTGGCTGCGTCGATCGGGCGGGACATTTGATGATTCACTCCACTAGCTATAATTATAAAATTTCCCCTTTAAAGCATTATTGAGATTATTACAAAATAAAAAAAGTGTTTTATTATTATTTTTTCTTTCACAAGCTCTACTTGTATCATTATTTTATTGTAATTTGACTCCCCCTACCAAACCAACTTAAAAAATATTTTTCTCACTAACTATTCCATATTAAATATTTTTGAAACATAAAAAATTAAAACAATTATCCTAAAGTTTATTTATTTTTTATTTTAAAGTTCATACTACCTCTTCCTCAAAAAAAAAATTTTAAAAAAATTATACATAGTACTCTGTATTAGATTGATTCGGGGTATTTCAAAAAAAAAAAAATTGATTCGGATCAGCCTAATTGGATATTTTGCTGCCCACCCTACAGCCTCACTGGGTCTAACCGGGGTTATTTTAACACTTTTTTTTTACACTTACTACCAAAATAAAAAAAAAAAAAAAAAATCTTAACAGTTGTTCATTTGTTCATATAATGAGCAGCAAAAATAATACAGATGTCTTCAAACTTGAGTCAACTAAAACCAAGCTAGTCAAAATCAAGCTTCCATGAAACTGAAATTCTGAATTCTCTTACACTTATGAAGATAAAATTTATTTCCAATGATTGATTATCGTAAGTTCTTTTCTCCTCTTTTTCTTGCATCTAAACTTCTCTTTCCTTTTAATTACAATGTTTATCTAGCTAGGTTCTGGAGTTTTGATTTGGATTTTGCTTTTGCTTCAATTATATTTGTTAAAATTACCCTTTAATTACTCACAAACAAACTCGTTAAAAGGTTGGATCTTTGATTTATCTTAATTTCTATAACAAAAAGTAATTAAATTTCTATGATTATAAGGAATAATCAGGTGTCCAACGTTCACTTAATTTTTGAGTTTTTTTTTTTTTTTTTCACAAAGTCCAGAACTTTAGTGCTTGTGTATAAAATCTAAGGTAAAATTTAATCCCTTAGTTTGAAATTGACAAGTCACTTATGTTATTTTTGGATATTCAAAAAGAAGTAATTACATTCTCTAATACTACTCCATAGATTATTAATACATCCGTTTCATATTATTTGCAACATTTGAATATTTTATACAAGTATCTCACATAGTTGCAAATAATATGAAATGGAGGTCGTATTTGGTTTCTCAATATACTTTGTATTATATACAATAGAATTGGCTCAAGCTGCTGGAGTATGTTAATTGATCTGAGGGCTTATAAGTATAACCTGATCGGTTGTGAACGGAATTATTATGTTGTAGTAAATTGTTCCTATCGTTTGCAGTTAGTGTCATAGCCTCAGTGCTGCTGGTGATGATTGTAGCCCGTTTGCTAATAAGGGAACGGGTGGACTGGAAAAGGATTACAAATGGGATGAAGCCATTTACGGATGAATTGAATTTCATTTACAATGTACCAGGGTGGATTCTCTTCTACTATAATCTCAATGCCAGTATGCAAACACTTGAAGAAAAAAGGGACCGGTTGCAGGAAAGATTGAGTGATCAGAAAATGTGGATTGAAGACCAAGAGTTTCAGACAGGTAGGCGGAGAACCAGAGAAGCTGATGATTGGTTAGCTTCTGCAGGAATCAAATGCGCCGAGGTACAGAAGTTACTGCAAGAAATGAAAAGAGAAACTTGTCATTTGAAATTTCTATATGAAGTATGGTCAGAAAATCTTGTCAAGAGATTGATTCAAGAGATGGATGATCTTCACAGTTCAGGAGTATTTGAAGAGGCACTATCTCCTGTTAGAGAAAGAGCAGAATTTGTGACTACACAATTGGTGGGTGATGCTGCAAAAGAGAATATCAAGAAAATTATGACATTGTTACAAAATGGAGTTACTAATATTGGGGTGTATGGAATTGAAGGAGTAGGAAAAACTGCAGTTATGATGAACATTTATAATCAGCTTTTAAGGTCTTATGATCATGTTTACTTCATTGAAGTGCCTAAGGATCATAGGGAATGTACTCTGCAGGGTGCTATTGCGAAAGTTCTAGGAATTGACTTGCAGGAAAAAGACGTGCCAAAAAGGGCAGCTTTGTTGCTGGGAGCATTGCGACAAAGAAATTTTGTTTTGATATTAGATGATTTGAGGGAACCTCTCTCAGAGGATAAGATAGGGATTCCGCTTGGTGTTGGGATAGGGAGAATGATTATCACTTCACGATCTCTTGATGTGTGTCGAAGATCTGGGTGCCAGGAGGTAGTACAAATGGGTCTGCTTTCATATGATGATGGTTTGAATCTATTTAAGCAGGTTCAACAAGCATTCAAGCTAAAGCCTCCAATAGAAAATGTAGCACAAAGAATTGTTGAGCAATGTAGGGGTTTGCCTCTTAAGATTGTCGACAAGGCAACAGATCTAAGAGGGGAGGCTGACATTAGCATCTGGGAAAATAATCTCAAAGAGATGTTAAAAGGGTAACACTAGAAACAATTTTTCTATATTGTACCTTAATGATAACAATATTAACTAAGTCGTGTGTAATGTTTTCATGAAAGTTTGTGTTAATGTTGACAGCAATAGCGCAATACTGTGAAGTATGTGATTTAAATGTTCATAGCCAATTTTTACATCAGTTATTGTGTGACTGAGAATACATGAAATACTTTGGGGGGGGGGGGGGTGAGGTTGCATTGCAGATTACTATAATTTGTTTTGCCAACTAAACACGCAGTTAGTGGTGTTCTTCAACTTCACTATCTCATGTTGCCAGGTACCTCTAGTCACAATTGAGTTGAAGGGAGTTGAAGGGTGCAATTGTATCAAAAATAGGATGAAATCTGGTGGAATCTTATGTCGTGTTTTTTATGTTAATGTACCTAATTAAGACTTCAGTATTTATGGACTTGAAGGTTGCATTGCAGAAGAAATGAAGGCGAACCACCTACCACGACCAGAAGGAAGTGAAATCAGAAGGGCAGCTGCCAAGCATACAGTTCAATGAAAGAATTTGTTCTTATTTTAGACGGATTACCCAAAGACTTTGCTCTCGAGGATGTAAGCATCCCTTTGGAAGGAAACAAAGGGAAATTAATAATGACTTCTCAATGTTTGTAAAAGAATGTTGTGTCAAGAAACTGTTGTGTTGGAACCCCTGTCTCAAGAGGACTCAGAGAATTTGTTCATGGAGAAACTAGCAGCAGATATTCCTATTTCTGAAGACATTAGGAATGTTGCTCGCGATATAATTCAGGAATGTAATGGCATACCATCGAAAATCATCGGTATGGCTGTCCGACTAAGAGGAGCTCCTGATGTAAATGAGTGGCTGGACACATCGTCTGATATGTGAATTCACTCTTGACAATGTAGATGAATAATGGAATGTAATTGATACATAATTGTATTGTAAGTCTAAGAGGATTCATTTTGATGAGTAACATTTATTATTTTAATAAAATCAGAGCTAAATCATCTAGAACATGCAAAACTCAACCATATCTAAACGACTAGATTGTCACCATTAATCGCTGGCCACCCATCTCCCTAAAGTTAAATTGTTGATGTAACTTCCAGGAAATACGTACTAGTAAATAGTATAGGCAAGTTTGGACAGGAGACTTTAAAGGTTGACTCTCCCAACAAAGTTAATAATTTAAACTCATGTCTTCTACCAAAAGTGTACGACTTCACTTGACCTTTATTTTTTTAACTCCAAACTCAATTTTTTTGCTTCTCTTCTTTCTCTCTCTTCCTCATCAACCCTTTGGGAAGATACAGGTAACAGATTCCTTCCAATGATTGGATATCGTAAGTACTTTACCAATTTATTTTTCTTGCATTTTATTTTCTTATTTAAAGTTTTAGTTAATTGATAGTTATTTATTGTATTATTGATTTTGTTCATTTTATATTTCTGGAGTTGAGATTTGGTTCAATTGATTTCCCATTTAAATTCTCTGCTTTTTATGTCTTGTAAGGAGTAACAGGCAATTGTTAGAAGATAAATATAAATGTCTATAATTATTTGATTTGATTTCACAATGTTCACACAAATCCAAAGACTTGTGAACTTGTGTGGCATTATATGTAAAACTCTTGGCTATATAAGCCATGTTACCGGAGCAATATACATAATTAATTTCTCCATCTTCTTTTACTCCTTTATAAAACTTTCTATCGGTAAAACTTTAACACGTTATCAGCACGAGTTTTCAGTCAGGTATATTTATACCTACTTATAAAAATTTATAACAAAATAATACTATCTACTTTCAACTGTTTCGAGGAGTATGCTCTATAGTTGCCCATATTTGGGATCCTCTATAACAGAAACTCAAACATTTACTATATATACCTCAAAAAACAACGGTGAAAGTTCTCTTACTTGTGAATTTACTACTATCATCTTTTGTTTATTCATGTTGATGTTTCTTTGTTTGATCCATGTTGATATTACATACTCATTTTACGTAAATTTTTATCTTAGTTATTATAATTGCTAAGTAGTAGCTTTGCATGCATATTATTATTAACTAGATTAACAAAAAGATGCAGCTTTTTTATACTTATTATTTTTCTTACTTTTACATACTTTTTTGTGTTTCTTTCCGTTTTCGAACCCATGATATTTTATAGATATTAGGGCTCTCGGACCACTATGGCTTGCATTCCCAGTGTGATAACCTTTTACAATTATAAATATATGGACCATAATTTTATGCCACTACGTTAGACTATTATATGATATTTTTACAGTTGTACAGAACAGCAACGGATAAACCTACCTCTATAAAAGACGGATTTTTCCCCCAATTTCACCACAAATCCTTTATCTCTTCCCACTTTTTATCCAAAAATTACCTAATTTTTTTTTTCACCCCCTTCTTCTCCGATATGTTCCCCGACGACGGCAACCAAAACACCCACAACTTCACTTTTGAAGAAGATTTAAGGAAAATAAAACAATATTTCCTTCTAATTACGACACTTGTAGTTCTATTAGTAGCAATATTAATTTTTGTCATTATGTATAAGTAAAACTCACTTATTTTGTCGTTTTAGTATATTAAAAGCTTGTTTTTGTTTTATTATGTTGTTTGTTGTTATTAATCATCATTGTATAATATTACCGTTATCATTATAATTATTGTTACTACTGTCATTGTTGTCGTTTTGCTGTTTTTTTTGCAACTAACATGATTAATTTTTGTCTAATCATATAATTACTCACAATAATAAACCAAGGGGGAGAAAAGACTATATTATTTATGGTTTATTATTATTAAATTTAATTATCACGTGTCTTATTAACTTAATTATAAATATGGAAGAACTAAACATGTGAGTTGTACATATAATTTGTTATTATAATCTAATTATCACGAAATTTGTTGTAGCTAAAATGGGAGACCTTATGAAAAGACAGTTCAGCATCTTAGATTTATCTAGAAAGAAATTTCTGGAATGGAAAGTGGATGCAATGATGAATTTGAAAGCTCAAGGTTTGGAGCACACTGTTAAAGAAAATAAAAGTCCCTCTGGTCAAACAACTGATGCTACCTCTTCTGCAATGACGGTTGAAAAACCTATCACTGAACAAGATAAGGCAAAAGCCTTAGTGTTGTTAAGGCATCATTTACATGAAGACCTTAAAACTGAGTACATGATGGTTGAAGATCCCAAAAAATTATGGGATTGCCTTAATGAAAGATTTGGACACCACAAAAGGGTGCTCCTGCCTAAGGCATTATTTGATTGGACAAATTTACGGTTCCAGGATTTCAAATCTGTAATTGATTATAATTCAACCATACATGAGATAGTGTCTATATTGAGATACTGTGATCATCCGGTTACAGATGAACAGATGATTGAAAAAACACTCACTACCTTTCATGCAAGTAACATACTGTTGCAAGAACAGTATCGTGAAAGAGGTTTTAAAAAGTTCAATGAATTAATGAGTATATTGCTTGTTGCGGAACAAAATAGTGAACTTTTGTTGAAAAATCATAACCTGAGACCAACTGGGTCTTTGGCCACTCATCATGAGGCAAATGCAACAAATTCCTATCCACCCGAGTCAAATGCTACAAGAAGAGGTGGACGTAGAAATTACAATGGTCGTGGAAGATGCCGTGGAAATTATCGCGGACGCGGCCGTGGTCGTGGTAGAAATAATTATCAAAGAAATAGTAATTTCAAAAATTTTGAAAAACAGAAGGGGCAGTCATCTGGAAGCCACAAACAAACTCCTTCGAAAGGAAAAGACACATGTTACAGATGTGGCATGACAGGACATTGGGGACGTACTTATCGAACGGCCAAACATTTGGTAGACCTTTACCATGCTTCTGTAAAAGGCAAAGAGAAAAATGCAGAAGCAAATTATGTTAATGAGGAAAATGCTCCTTGTCCCAGCCTTGATGTGTCTGATTATTTCATGGATAATGCTGAAATTGGAAATGATTTCATTCTTGGAGAAAACAACAATACTTAGGTTTCTCATTTACTAATGTAACATATGCTATATTTTAATGTATTTTCTTAGTTCCCTGTATTTTAAATTTCTAGTCATGTACTTTAAATCTCTATCATCAATAAAAGTTTGTATGATATTATTCTAAACTAATCTCAAATTTATTTTATGAAGATATGGATCTACCTGAAGTTAGTTCCGAATATCAATGCCTTTTGGACAGTGGAACAACACATACTATCTTAAAAGATAGAAAATATTTTTCACATTTCAAGCAAATGTAAACACCATTTCCGGGTCAGCTAAATTAATTGAAGGATCTGGAAAGGCTTGTATAATGCTTCCAAATGGAACAAAATTAATAATCAATAATGCTTTATATTCGAGTAAATCTCGAAGAAATCTCATAAGCTTTAAAGATGTACGCCAAAATGGCTATCATCTAGAAACAATGACAACAGGTCAAAAAGAGTATATATGCCTCACGGCAGAAAAACATGGCAAGAAACATATATATGAGAAATTGCCAGCATACTCTTCGGGGTTATATCGTATAAACATACGACCCGTGGAAATCAATATGGTATCTAACCAGAAGTTAGATGACAAACATTTGATTATTTTATGGCATGATCGTTTAGGACATCCAACAACTGGGATGATGCAAAGAATAATAGCACATTCAGTTGGACATTCAATAAGAAATGTCAAAATTCCCCGATCAGATGAATTAACATGCTCTGCATGTTCACTTGGAAAATTAATAATAAGGCCATCTATGAACAAAATTGCTACTGAATCTCCCAAATTCTTGGAAAGAATTCAGGGAGACATATGTGGGCCAATTAATCCAGCATGTGGACCATTTCGATATTTCATGGTTTTAATTGATGCCTCTACACGATGGTCACATGTTAGTCTACTTTCAAGTAGAAATGTTGCCTTAGCAAAATTACTTGCCCAAATCATCAAATTAAGAGCACAATTCCCAGATCATACAATAAAGAAAATAAGACTTGACAATGCTGGGGAATTTACATCCCAAACATTTAATGATTATTGTATGTCAATTGGAATTGATGTTGAACACCCAGTAGCTCATGTTCATACACAAAATGGTCTAGCTGAATCACTAATTAAGAGATTACAATTGATTGCAAGACCATTATTAATGAGGTCAAGATTTCCATCATCTGCTTGGGGACATGTTATAATACATGCAGCAGCGCTAATTAGATTGAGACCTACAGCTTATCATAAATTCTCACCACTACAACTTGTTTGTGGTCGAGAAACCAAGTATCTCACATCTAAAAATCTTTGGTTGTGCTGTATATGTTCCCATTGCTCCACCCCAACGAACAAAAATGGGTCCACAAAGAAGGCTGGGAATTTATGTCGGGTTTGAATCCCCCTCTATAATTAAATACCTTGAACCATTGACTGGTGACTTATTTACGGCTAGATTTGCGGACTGTCACTTTAATGAAACAGTATTCCCAGCCTTAGGGGGAGAGAAAGTGGACCCACATAAGAAAGAAATTGAACTCATTTGGAATGCAACACAACTGTTGATGTTAGACCCACGAACAAATATGTGTGAACAAGAAGTTAAGAAAATTTTTCATTTACAAAGTGTTGCAAATCAATTGCCTGATGCATTTGTAGACACAAAGAAGGTGACAAAATCACATATACCAGCAGAAAATGCCCCTGCACGTATTGAAATCCCAACTGGTAATAAGGCCATAGAAAATGAATCTCAGGCACGCAGAAAGCGTGGAAGACCACTTGGTTCAAAAGATTCTAAGCTAAGAAAATTGAAAAGATTGGATGGAATAGAAAATGAGACTAATGATGTTCCCCCGTCAGAAGGTCAAGAAAAACCAAATGTGGATGAAAGTAAAGAAAATGATGATAATCCAAAAGGGGACGAACAAGAAGACAACCCTACGGGGAATGAACAAGATGTTCAAAACATCGATAACAATGAAATCTCAATGAATTATGTCTCTACAAAGACTCAGTGGAATAGGAAAGATGTTATCGTTAATGAAACATTTGCAAATTCCATCGCAATCGACATCGTGTCTGATGAAAATGATGTTGAACCAAGAACTGTAGAAGAATGTCGACGTAGGAGTGATTGGCCAAAGTGGAAGGAGGCAATGCTGGCTGAGTTAAAGTCACTTGAAAAACGAGAAGTTTTTGGGAAAATAACCCTTACACCAGCAGGTGTAAAACCCGTTGGATACAAATGGGTATTTGTAAGAAAACGTAATGAGAAAAATGAAATAGTTAGATACAAGGCAAGACTTGTAGCCCAAGGATTTTCTCAAATTCCAGGGATTGATTATGAAGAAACATATTCTCCACTGGTTGATGCAACTACATTAAGATTTCTGGTAAGTTTGACAGTCACAAAAGGACTGTAAATGCGATTAATGGATGTAGTGACTGCGTATTTGTATGGGTCACTCGATACGGACATTTACATGAAAGTCCCTGAAGGACTAAAACTACTAGAAAACCACAAGCCTAGACAACTGCTTTCCATAAAACTAAAAAGGTCACTTTATGGATTGAAACAATCTGGAAGGATGTGGTACAACCGTCAGAGTGAATATCTTATGAGAGAAGGATTCAAAAACAACCAAGTTAGTCCATGTGTTTTCATAAAGCGATCACAATCAGGATTCGCTATCATTGCAGTTTATGTTGATAATTTAAATATCATCGGAACCCCAAATGAACTCGAGAAAACTGCAAAATACTTGATGAAAGAATTTGAGATGAAAGACCTTGGGAAAACTAAATTTTGCCTTGGACTACAAATTGAGCACTTGAGTCATGGCATTTTTGTCCATCAATCAAACTATACAGAAAGAGTTTTGAAACGTTTCTTCATGGACAAAGCAACCCCAACCAACTTCCCAATGGTTGTTCGTTCTTTGAATATGAAAAATGATCCATTCAGACCCCGAGAAGAAAATGAAGAGGTTCTGGGTCCAGAAGTACCATACTTAAGTGCAATTGGAGCCTTAATGTACTTAGCTAACAATACTAGACCCGACATAGCTTTCTCTGTGAATTTGTTAGCCAGGCACAACAATGCACCAACATATAGGCATTGGAAGGGAGTTCGACACTTACTCCGGTACCTACGAGGGACACAAGACCTTGGTTTATATTACCAACCAAAACAAGATGCTGCTCTCATTGGGTATGCAGACGCTGGATACTTATCAGATCCTCAAAATGCCAAGTCACAAAATGGATATGTATTCACTTATGGCGGCACTGCAATATCATGGAAATCAACAAAGCAGACATTGACCGCGACATCATCAAATCATGCAGAGTTGATAGCCCTCTATGAAGCAGGACGGGAATGTGTGTGGCTGAGGTCGATGATCAGTAATATCCAAAAGGAGTGTGGGATGAACGCAATAACAGAAGACCCAACCATCATCTTTGAAGACAATACAACATGTATCGCCCAAGTAACTGAAGGATATATTAAGGGAGATAATACGAAACATATTGCCCCAAAACTGTTCTTCACACAAGATCTGCAAAAGGACGAGGAAATAAATATCCAGCAAATTCAGTCTTGTGAAAATCTTGCCGACCTTTTCACCAAATCACTTCCTTCGAAGAAATTTGAACAGTTAGTTCACAAAATCGGAATGCGACATCTTCGTGAACTATGCTGAGATCAGGGGGAGTATTATATGTACTGCACTCTTTTTCCCTTCGATCAGGTTTTTATCCCACCGGGTTTTTCCTGACAAGGTTTTTAACGAGGCAGTATACCAAAGCATATAATACTATATCGTTGTACTCTTTTTCCCTAGCTATGGTATTTACCCCATAAGAGTTTTACCTAGCAAGGTTTTTAATGAGGCAACAAATACCTTTCTGTATAATAAGTATGGGCATTCAAGGGGGAGTGTTAGAAGATAAATATGAATGCCTATAATTATTTGATTTGATTTCACAATGTTCACACAAGTCCAAAGACTTGTGAACTTGTGTGGCATTATATGTAAAACTCTTGGCTATATAAGCCATGTTACCGGAGCAATATACATAATCAATTTCTCCATCTTCTCTTACTCCTTTATAAAACTTTCTATCGGTAAAACTTTAACAGCAATAAATTTTGCAACTTGACCAAATGTTGATTGTTGCAACAGTTGTAGTGAAAGCAAAATGTTATGAGATAGCCGATATAGCTAGTTTAGTTGGTAAAGTTTTCGGAGATTTTCTCATAATATTAGTACGGAGTAATAAATTACCCGAGTCTTACAGAAATATATCTGATGAGGCTAAACCTATCTAGATTTATAGTTTACAAGATGCTGGTTTTTGGAAGTTAATACATTGATTGTCTTTAATTTAGTTGATTGTGAAATATGAAATTAAAATTCAATAAAAGTAACTGCAATTTAAAACATTAGGGGGTGGTCACTTATCTAAACACAAGTATTAGTCACGTATACTATCAAATTTCCGGGATAGTTGTAAATTTGTAACGTTTATAGTTGTCACATCTCCTAAGATAGTATTTGGATTTCTCTATACGCCATTATATGAAAAGAATCGTGAGGATTTCTCTAATTTTGGGATTATGAAATCTGATCGATTCTGGATGAAGTAATTATGAACAGGCAAATTCAGAGAATAGACTAGGGAATTTTTAATGTGTGCTCCTTTCTTCTGCAGTGAATGTAGTATATACGGCGCTGCTGCTGTTAATTACAGTAGTCTGTTTGCTAAGAACAGAACGCTTGGACTTGACAAAGATCTTAGATGGGATTGATTCGTTTAAGGATGCATTGGACTTCATTGGCAGTTTACCACGGTGGATCCACTTCTACAACAATCTCAACGTCAACGTGCAAACACTCCATGAAAGAAGGGACAGGTTGCATGTAAGACTAGATGATATGATAATGCAGGTTGAAGATCAAGAGTTTCAGACAGGAAGGCGGAGAAAAAGAGAAGTTGATAATTGGATATCTTCTGCTGGAACCAAATGCAATGAGTTAGAAACGTTGTTGCTACAAGATATGTTGAGAGAAACTAGTTATTTCTGGAAATTCTTATATCGAGCTTGGTTAGGTAATCTTGTTGAGAGACTGATTCGAGAGGTGGATGATCTTTACTGTTCGGGAGTCTTTGAAGAGGTACTGTCTCCTGTTAGAGAACGAGTGGAATTCGTGGAAACACAGCTGGTGGGCAAGGCTGCGAATGAGAATAGCAGGAGAATTATTACGTGGTTACGACGAAATGGAGCTACTAGAATTGGGGTGCATGGAATCAAAGGAATAGGAAAAACTGTTGTAATGAAAAACATTCATAATCAGCTGTTAAGATATTATGAACATGTTTACTTCATTACAGTAACTGAAGACCAAAATGAATATGATTTGCAGGGTGCTATAGCAAAAGATTTAGGAATTGATTTGAAGGAAGAGGACTTGCCAAAAAGGGCAGCTTTTTTGCATCGAGCATTGCGACAAAGGAACTTTGTGCTGATATTAGACGGCTTGAAGAAATATTTCTCGGAAGATAAGGTAGGAATTCCTCTTGGTGCAGGAACAGGGAAAATGATCATCACTTCACGGTCTCCTGATGTGTGTCGAAAAATTGGGTGCCAGAACAATATAATAGCAATAGATCCACTTCCGGATGATGAAGCTTTGTATCTATTTAAGCAGGTGCAACAAGCACTCGAGCTTAAGCCTCCAATAGAAAAAGTAGCCCATAGAATTGTCAAGCAATGTATGGGTGTGCCTCTCAAAATTGTCGAACAGGCAACAAATTTGAGAGGAGAAGATGACATTGGCGCCTGGGAGAATAGTCTCAATGAGATGTTAAAAGGATAATGTATCGAAGATTTGTTCTAGTTTATACCCTAACAACCCCTTTGGTATGCAGTAACATATGAAGAATGACGATAAGTTAATGAAATTGTATGTTAAGTTGAAAGGAAAGTTCATGCTTATGTTGATAGTAAAAACACTGAACTCTGATTCTCTGAAGTAGGTGTTTTACACGTTCATATCTAATTTAAGAGCCTGACAAAGTTTATGAAATATAAAGGGGCTGAGGTTGCAGTTATATTGAGTATCTCTATCTCATGTTCACTTCTTTGTCTATGTTCGCTCCGTTGCAGTAAAAATCCCAACTAGAAATTAGTCGTGAAGGAATTTCTCAAACTTTCTTTGAAATTGAGTTTTCTTATTCAATGTATGCCATCTTAATACATCCCCAATTAGAACATTGGTCTAGAACAGGTAACAACAGCAAAGAGAATTAATGTATTAACTGTAATAAATCTGTTCTTTTAGCCAACAAAATTCAACAGGTGCAACTCGATGCCAAGGAAAAAATATAGAGCAGTTCCACAAATATAGACGCCTGTTTGAAGCGAAAAAATGGAAAAGCAAGTGCACTAGTTGCTGGGCCGGTCTTTGCAGGAAGTTTTTTTTTTTTTTTTTTTCTTCATGGGCATCCTTCCTGAGTTCACTGGAAGAAGCAGCGGCAGAAACTTCAAAATTGCAGTTCAGCTGTAAGAAAGGCATTGAAAGATGGTCTCAGCTGCTAACACCCATTACAATAGAAACTATAGGAACTGAAATGTGCATGAATAATTCTAGGAGGCGATAATCAAGCAAAGGAAGTGGAATTGAAGCCTATCTACACCATTGCCTTGGTATCCAGCCTCAACAGTGACCAAACTACCGACTCATAGGCATTAGGGCAGACTCAATTAATACACTATCCAACCTCTAGGGCAGACTCAATGAATACACTATCCATAAAAGAAGCAACTCATTCCCCCCTCCAAATCCTTGCCAAGAAGATTGCTGACAATATATAGACAAATGAACTATAAAATTGTGCTTAATAAGAATGAACAAAGTACAATGTAATGTATTATTACATCAATGTTAAAACTATGATTAGTCACAAGTGTGCTAAGAATTTATTTTGTAGTTTCTCTTTTTTACCCACTCACAAGGGTTGGTAATTCTTATGGTCAATACGAAAGGTAAGGGACTATCACATTCTCAACACTCCAACATATAGTAAAATGAATGCCTCGGCCTCACTGACATAAAATCCCTGATTATATAAAAAATAGCCATAATCCACTTGCTGAGGCTAAAAGATGAACCAAAGTAGCAAGAAATCAAAGAGAAGGATTTAACTACGACATATTACCTTCTTAAATGATGATACTCCCACAGGCTTCAGAGGAGAGAGCATTCCCAACTAGTATCAACAGCACCTATAATTTTCTCATGTAATACAGCTCCAGAACAAGCAATTATTCCACGATCAAGACCTTCCAAATACACTCCCCTTGAAAAGTCCAGTGGGCGTCCTCCGGCATCAGTTACCACACCACCAGCCTCTTGTACGATAAGCACACCAGCAGCATGATCCCATATCTTCTCTTTATAACCAGCTGTAGCAAACCTCATATAAATTTCGGCATCTCCTCTAGCTATGGCTGCATACTTCACCATACTATATACACGCAAAGGCTTCTTCCTGAAAACAATTTATTTAAATTGGAGCTGTAAGGTTCAAATACAAACTGTAGAACTTGAAGAATAAACAATGATGACATTAGTCACATTACAGTTATCAGAGAGGTATCAAGCCTTTCATGTATGAGCCAAGTTAAGATTTTACATGTGTATGATTTAACTGCATTGATAACATTGCCACTAAAGCCAAACTGACACTTTACAGCATCAAGTTTTGGAAAATTATTCTCATATCTAGCAGAAGAAAGGAGGTGCATATAACCACAGGACAAACGAGATAACACAAAAGAGAATACAAACCAATCCTTGAAATACTAAGTTAAATGTGCGAGCAGGTTGAGAACATGCCTAATTGCATACTTCATATTATATATGGACATGCAATCTAGAAAGAGGTCTTACTATATTCATGACTTCACATTTCATGATTGATATGAGATAAACTTCACCTCAAGGCTTAAACAATGAGAACATCAGTGAAAATAGAATGTTATTTTGGTAGTCAAACACACACAAACACTCAAATACACCCACCTAAGTCCAGCACTGTGAGCAACCCCTTCTGTGAAAGAATGACTGGTATTGGTTTTTTCCACTGGTTCACAAAATGTTGCAAGAGCTGGATCCTTAACAGAGGAAACTTTAATTTTTCTCGCAGAGTCAAACAAGTTAAGCTTCAATTCTCCATGAATTAATGGCTGCATCCATGCTTTACCAGTGCCTCTCTTTGCATACATTACACAGCCTTTCTCCCACATATCAGGAGAGGCGGAGGACATTTCTGGTGTGAGTTGATGATGGTGGTTCACTAGACCCTTCTTCACAGGGTAGTTGGGGCACCCCAGGACTCCAAGTATTACTCTTCCCTCCTCGATCAATGCTAGGGCAACAGCATACTGATTGCCACGTACAAAACCCAGGGTTCCATCAACAGGGTCCAAAACCCAATGTCTTCCTTTAGGACCACCAGAAGAGTTGCATCGACCAATGGCTTCAAGCACTTGGTTGGGGGCAAGAGGAATGTTTGACACTTTAAGACCAAATCTAGGAGCTTCTGAGAAACTTTCGTTCACCGTATTCACCACTGCTTGCAATAAGTCAGACTTTGAGAGAGTCTGTGCATCTTCCTCAGCAACAATGGACAAATTTTGGCTTCCGAAAGATTCTGACAGTATTTGGCTAACAACAGCTTGTACACTATAATCTGTTCATGCAGTAATGCCGATCTGTCATCAAATTCATGTGCCCAAAGCATAACACGAATATAAAGTCAAATTTGAATGAATACACAAGTGTGAAGGTTATCCATTAATTTACAAAACCAAACTAACTTCATAGTTGATTGCAAAAACATAACCAAAAAAAAAAAAAAAAAAAGAAACTACTGACATTGATACACCAATGCTGTTCAAGCAAAGGTAAGACAATCTTCAAAAAAATAAATAAATAAAACTCCTACTACGTATGATTTAGTGTTTAAAAAAGCTAGTGGCAGAACATCTTTCTAATTCACTAAGGAACACCTTTTATATACATCCATGCGCACATAGAGCCATAGAGGTAGGTGTACCGAGGGGTGGTTTTTTTGCTCATTTGATATTATATTTTTCTCATTTCAAGATTTTAATGAGCAAAAAAAATCCCTTAGGTGCACCTTGCACTATAATTTATGTTTTTTTTTACCAAGCTATAATTAGACCAGAAAACTTCTAATTCTGATTCACAACTTGATACGACTGCACGACAGGGCATACACAGCATCAACCATAGTCATTTTATGAGTTGCCATTCTGTTCTTTTCGTTAGAAAGTAACCTCCAGAGACATATATAGGACTTCTCTGAAAAGCCCTCTAGAGATACTTCAATAACAATTGTGAGTCTTACACTCCATTACATCACTTTCTTCGGCAGATTGAATTTCACTAATTGGCTAATCATGCAAAATTTATCATGGAAAGAATACTTTACTTCTTTACATTGGTGAATTTGAAAGAAATTCATAACAGCCTTCAAAGTATAAACCTTTATAAAATTAACACTTCAAACCATAATCATTTCTTAAGTACACTCAGATTGTATGTATAATGTACAACAGACATTCAATCTAACGGTATTCTCATTGAAACACCATTATCAAATAATCAATACTAAATGCAAGATTATCAAAGTTGTAAGAAAAATCTAACCAAATTCTCCACTAAAGAAGTGTAAAGGTATCCACATTTAATCATTTATACACCATTATCAAACAATCAATACTAATGCAACATTATCAAAATTATTTAATCAAACACTCCATTAAAGGGGACCCAGAATTATCAAAAATGTAAATTATTAAAACATAACAGCATCATACAAAAATTCATAATCAACCCACATTGCCATTAAAATCATTAAACCAAAACAATACAAAAATCCCCAGAAAACATTCATACAATTGAAGCATACCCATCAAACAAAACACCAAATTCATGCCAAAATTCATGAAACCCAAATCATAAAAACCAAAAAAATACAAATATGAATAAGAAAAGAGAATTACCCGCAACGGTGACAAGAGAATCATCATCTTTAGAATTGACCTGGGAAGCATTAGCAGAAAGCAAGCTATTCTGAACTCTCTGACATAAAGCGCAAGCCAAATGAACAACTCGAACAGCAACATCCAATTCCTTGGAAAACAAAAACTCACCTTCCGCCATTTTTTGTCCAGGTTCATTCAAAATCGAGGAGAGAGAAAATGAGGGAAATTGGGAGATGGGAATTGGAATTACATGGTATAATTATAATAATAATAAAAAAAATAAAATTGAAGGGATTTTAGAGCTTTTGAGAGGGTGGAAGTTCCTGGTCCATTAATCTCTCTTCCATAAGAAAGGAATTTGTAACAGAGTTTTTGCGTTTTTTGGTTGGTTTTTCATTCGTAAATTATACAGTATTATTGAAAATTGAAAAGAATGATTTCATATGCACCTTCCGTTTGTTTGTGAGTGTGGCAAAGTGGCCTAACTCTTTTGGCATAAGATTGTAATACTCCGTTCTTTTTTACTTGATCCGCTTTAGGGGTTGTTATTCGTCGCTCCCATTTTACCGGGTAACGCTCCCATTTTGACTTGAATTTTCAATTTAACCCCTAACATTTAAATACGGTTTTTTCCACTTCCCGACCAACATTTCTCACTTTCTTACTTCTCTCTCTAACTCTCTAAAACACTCTAATTCTGAAAAAAAAATTCTTCCAAATTTTTTTGTTCATTTTTAAAAAAAACAACAATCATCAAAAACACAAAAAAGATGGGTGATTCGAGGAGAATAAGGCTGACATTCGGAGGGAGGAGTTTTGGCGGCGGTGGAGGCAGCGGCGGAGGTGGCGGCGACGGAGGCGAGCAGGTGATTTTTTTTAATTACGGAACCTGGAACTTCCGTCCAAAAAATCCGGAAGTTCCAAGGAGGATCCGCCTGGAATTTCCGAATCCTCCTTGGAACTTCCGGAAATTCTGGGCGGAAGTTCCAAATTTTTTTTTCCCCGTTAATAATATGGTTTTTTAATTTTTTTATTGTTAATTTATTTTTTTTTTTTTTATGGATTTTGTTATCTTTGTTGTTATTTTGAAGTGTTATTGTTAGTATTATTATTATTGTTGTTGTTGTTATTATGGTTAGTATATTTTGTAGTGTTGTTATTTTTAAAAATATGATTAGTATTATTATTTTGTTGATATTAGGATTTTTATTATTATTGTTATTATGGTTATTGTTGTTGTTGTTAATTTTTTTTTTTTTTTGGATTTTGTTATTTTTGTTGTTATTTTGAAGTGTTATGGTTAGTATTATTATTATTATTATTGTTATTATTATTGTTGATATTATTATTATTATTGTTATTATTATGGTTAGCATATTTTGTAGTGTTATTATTTTTAAAAATATGATTAGTATTATTATTATTGTTGTTGATATTAGGGTTTTTATTATTATTGTTATTATGGTTATTGTTGTTGTTAAATTTATTTTTTTTTGTTGTTGTTGTTATAATAATATTATTATTGTTATTAGTAGTACTATTATTAATATTTTTAATTATGATTAGTATTATTGTTGTTGATATTAGTGTTATTATTATTGTTATTATGGTTATTGTTGTTGTTGTTGTTGTTGTTGTTGTTGTTGTTGTTGTTGTTATTGTTATTATGGTTATTGTTGTTGTTGTTAATTTTATTTGTTGTTGTTGTTGTTGTTGTTGTTGTTGTTGTTATTCTTGGCCTTCTATGGTTATTGTTGTTGTTGTTGTTAATTTTAATTTTTTTTGTTATTATTATTATTATTATTATTACTAAGATCGGATTTTGTATTTATTTTATGTAGATCGAGGGTTCTGGTGCTCGACATGCAATATCACGACGTCTGAATGCGTCTGTTAGGAGACAGACATCTCGTTCAGCACCGCTTCAGCCCGAGCAGCAGCAATACGGGTCTACTAGTGGTTGGTCGGGAGGCCAACAGTCTGGTACGTAGTAGTCGGCCCTTGTACTCTACAAGTGGAGCACCCATATCTGACGAGGAAGACGAATGCTCGGCTAGTCATGCTGGTGAACGGGATGAAGAACAGGACCCTCAAGATTACCATATGGTATATAGGGGTCAGTTTGGGAGATTTGTTGGTAGTGGATCGAGTCAGCCTACTACCAGCTCTGCAAAGGCATGGTTAGTGCAGTAACCGATGTCGGGTGGGCCTGAGGATGGGTCTGTTATCCCTAGTTTTGGCGGTCACGTGGCACGATATATCTGGATCGAGCAGGAGCATAGTGTTTTGCGCTGTTTGAGTAGGACAAAGTTATGTTCTGACTTGTTCACTTGGCGAGGTCGTCAATCTGTGAAGGACCTCGCGGCAATTGATGCTAGCTGGTTGTCTCACTTGCCCGGCCTGATGTTTAAAAGACTTGATTGGCCGTTGATTTCTGCTTTTGTTGAGAGGTGGCAGCCAGATACGAACACCTTTCACATGCCATTTGGGGAGATTACGATCTTGTTGCACGACGTGTACAACATACTTGGGTTACGTGTCGCAGGCAATATGGTCACCATTACTCCTAGCACGGACGTGTTACGGGACGCGTGCTCGATCACCATGGATATGACTCCAGATGATTTGTCTGAGATTTGCGGCACAAAGACCATTTGGCAGGGTAGTGGGGTGTTGACTGATAAGATTTTTGAGTCGACATTGGCGGTTGACCGGGAGTTTAGTGATCAGCTTAATGGATACTTGTGGTTAGTGCTTGGAGGTAGACTGTTTGTAGACAAGAGTGGTAACCGTACGCATCCTTCCTTCCTCCACGAGCTATGTTACATGGATGTCCCTATTAACGAGTATGTTTGGGGAACAGCTGCACTGGCCTACTTGTATCGGCAATTGGGCACGACATCACGGAAAGGTGTTGATTCGATTGCTGGTTGTCTCACGCTTCTACAAGCGTGGATTTACGAGTATTTTCCGTGCTTTCGGCCACAGCAGGGTACCTTGACCCGGGACCTTCAAATGCCTCGTGCGTCTACTTGGGATGTTGGAGCGGGATGTCATAGCAAGAACCTGGAGCGCCTGTTATCTTTTCGTACTAGAATTGATGCGCTTACTGACCGTGAGGTGAACTGGCTACCGTACGGAGCTGATCCTGCATTACGAGTGCCCCCCACTTTATTCATTGGCTGCATCCAGTACCGTAACATCATTGAACCGTACATGCCTGATAGAGTGGTGCGCCAGCTTGGTTTCGTGCAAGGCATTCCCCGCGAGATCATCAGGCCAGAGAAGGCCAAGAGGCCGACTAACTTGAAGATGTATCGGGTAGACTTCCCGACCGAGATGACAGATGTGATGTGGAAGAGGTTTGTCCCTGGGGTATCTCAGAGTGTAGTTTTAGGTGCCCTCACCAGGCTTAGTGCTGCAGCTCCTTCGGTTGCGCCTGGTTACATGCAGTATCCTGAAATGTCGAGTGAGACTCGAACAATGACTGAGCAGCTTGTATTTGATTGGAAGTCAAAAATGGGACTTTAGATTATTTTTATTAGAAGTTGTGTTAGTGGTTTTAATTATGTTATGAACTTTTTTTTTTTTTAAATGTAATGTATAAACTAGACACTTATTTATTTTTATATTTTATGTTTTGTTGCATATCATGTTAGATTAAAAGCAAATACATTTAAAATTAATTTCATAATTCTAATTTTCTTACAAATGTTCAAAGTTAGTGAATGTACAATACAAACTACCTAACTAATGCATCCCACATGTCCCTTCTCAATTGATATTGTTGATCCCATCCATTAACACTATCCTCGTGGTGTTCAGTCCACCAAACGACGATCGGTGGAAGAGGTGAATCAGGTACAAGGTCAAGACGGATGAAATGTGATCCACCAACTGTAGCAATCACAAACTCTCGAGTCGGTGACCGAACCCCGTTGTGTGCCCTCAGCGATAAGACTGTGATGCATGGGTAGTAGCAAGTTGGTACTAGGCCTACCCTTAGACAAATCACCCTTGCGTTGAACCACGTAGCAATAGGAAATAAATCTTGAATTGTAACCATCCAATGCCGCTCCCCGACAGCCCCACCATCCCATCGAATACGCTCTACGTTCATCCAAAGTCGCCCAAGCCCGTAAATCCGTTCGTACAAATCAGGATAACCAGCGATCTCGTTTGCTATTGTTTCCCGAGCGTCAAACCACAGCGCCTGATCGCCAAAGAAGAAGTCGGCAACACAACGAAAGCCACAGTTCCCATCACCAATGACATCCTTCCAAGACGAAATGTACGACAACATTGGGCCTGGAAGCAAGTTCAAATACCTGCATTGACTAATGTCACTCAGATCTACAACACAAAATTAAAAGATAAATTATTAGTAAAGCTACAAGTATTAAGTTTACATATTTTAATATTACATATAGAAATTTTAATATTACATATAGAAATTTTATATTACCTGGTTCTGGGTCACCACCACGTTGAGTGTGTTGACGGTCCACATGCTCAAAATAACTACGATCACGCATGGTGTCATTGTTCCTCGGTCGACCACGAGTGTTAAGGTTGACATGTGGTTCTTCAAGGTGTGTATGATCCGGATGTAGCTCCTCTTCAATGATTCGCGTTACATTTCGACGTACGGCCGGGTCACTTTCCATGACTTCATCAATTAGGGACCGAAAATGTGTAGCCTCCTCGGTCGAATCATTAACAACTTCAGGAATGTTAACACCATCACCAATAACCAGTGTCTTCCAGAAAGAATGAATTTGGTTGCTATACAATCCTGTCTGTGCAATTATCGAATCATGTATCTGGCAAGCACATGGAAGAATATGGGTCACACGCATAGCACATCCACACCGTTCATGGACCTGGTAACTCAAATCCCGCATCCTTTTCGTCTCGTTGTCCAGTTCTTTCAAGCAATGTTGAGACACTTTGCCATTTATACGTGACAGTGGCAACTGTCTGTACATCTGACCAATTTTAGACCTTGATGCCTCCAAGTCATTACGAATTTGTATGATGTGATTACCGATATCAAAATGGACTCGGGCCCATACGTTATCCAAAGAAGCTGCCAATGATTCAAATTAGTAAATACATTTAAATTTTTTATTATAATTACAATTATGTAACAACGAGAACAACTAATAAAATAATACAACTAACCTGTGGATGATTCAAACCAACTTTTCACTGCTGAATGTTGGCTCTCAACTCTTCAGTTGGTGGTGTTACCAAAGTGAAGAACCTGGTTCGTCCAAAATTTCACAAATTTCTCCTTATGACAAAGCCATGTTCTCTGAACATACTGAATGACTGCCGGATATTTTCCACACCTCACTTGCATGGCAGCTAGAGCATGATCATACTCCGCCTGTGTTGTTGCATTCACGGTTTTGAACCATTTGCCAGCTCTAAAACTAACACCAACCTTCTTGTTTCCGAACATCTTCGTCACCTTATCCTGCACATATCTGTTGATGTGCCATAGACAGAGTAAATGTGACATCCTTGGAAAGACTTCTCTCAAAGACGCACATAGCCCAAGATCACGGTCTGAAATAAATTCAGATGGCTCTTTATCAAACCCAATCAACTCCCTTAATCTCTGCAACACCCACCGATAGCTAGCCGTGCACTCGTCGCGCATGAAAACATATCCAACTAGAAAATTTTGGTTTGTCGGTGTCACACCTACTACCTCAAAGAAAGGCATGTTATATGGATTGGTCTTGTAAGTAGAATCCATACCTATGACATGTGGGTATGTGCGGAGTATGTTGACCATGATCGGGTGCACCATAAATGCATGTTGCAAAACGTTGTGATCATCGTTCGTGACCCAGTAAATGTATTTACTCTCTCTCGCCAGATGAAGAAATTGTTGAACAACTCCTCTTACCTTCGGACATCTCCATCCTGAAGTCATTTCGACAATTGTAAATGTGTTGGATGTTTGGATGATCATCAGGAAATTGCTCGGCAATAGTGGACATGATGTTACGGGGAGCAACCTTGGACTTTGTCATGTCCCGCACAACCTGTTTTGCACCCAGACTCAATCCGCTCACTTTACGGTGACCCTCTTGGTACACAATCAATGGGTGGTTACGTGTCCCGGTGTGATCATTTTTCGCAATGATCTTCCAACTGTCGGTGTTGACTTCATAATATATCTTGATGTAGAATGGACAACCATTAGCTTTGGTTTTGGTGTCCTTCCGTATCGCGTTCTCCAAATCTCTCGGCTTGCTCCTTCGTGACCGATCACATCGCAAATACCAAAACGGCCGACCATCTCTGGTTTTGTTATAAGACGATTTCACCAATATAAATCCCAATTTTATGGAAACACCATCAGCCCATGTAACTGCATCGTCAAATGTAAGGAAAAACGTATCCGTGACAAAATTCCCACTATAATTCACACCGTCACCGCCTTCCTCAGATTCCATATCCTATACAAATTAAACAAAACATGGTTTATGTCAAAATAATAATAATAATAATAATAATAATAATAATAATAATAATAATAATAACAAAACAATAACAATATTAATAATAATATTAAAAATAATAATAAACAATTATAACAACAAATACAAAACAATAATACCATAACATAATTACTAAATAATAATAATAATAATATAATAATAATAATAATAGTATTAAAATTATATTTCTACTAATTAATAATAACAATATCAACAACAACAACAACAACAACAACAACAACAACAACAACAACAATAACAACAACAACAACAACAATAATAATAATAATAACAACTACAACAACAACAATAATAATAACAACAACAACAACTATAATAATAATAATAATAATAATATTTTAAATAATAATAATAATAATATAAATAATAATAATAATAATGTTACAAAAAATAATCATATTATTAATAATAATCATATTAATACAAAAAAATTACATTAATTATCAAATACTAAATCACAACAATAATCACAAGACCACGAAAAAAAACAAAAAAAAACAAACTTAATTAACATTAAAAAAAAATTAAACGTACTTAACATTTTTTAAAAAAATAAAAATAAAAAGGGACATCCGCCTAAAATATCCGGATGTCCCTAGGTAGATCCGCCTTAAATTTCCGGATCTACCATGGAAGATCCGGATTTTTCAGGCGGATCTCTACTTCCGCTTGAAATTTCCGGATGTTCCATGGTACATCCGGAAATTTTAGGCGCATGTACCTAGGACATTCGGAAATTTTAGGCGGATATCCTATTTGCAGAAAATAAAAAAAAACAGAAAACTTACAGAATGTTCCGACGCATTCTCCGGCGTACGAATGTTCCACTTGCCGTTCATGACCCAAGACCCGTCGAAAAATTTTACGACTAATTATTTTTTTTAAATAAAAGAAATTAAGGAGGTCGTGGGGACCGATTCGGTTTTAAGGTCGTGGGGACCGATTTTGGGAGGCTCGGGATAGCAAGGTCGTAATGTGAGGGGACCGTTTCATGTAATGTGTCCAAATGGGGAACAAGGTCCTTTTTATAACACAAATTGCATAAAGGGCATAATTGTCCATTCAAGTCAAAATGGGAGCGTTACCCCGTAAAATGGGAGCGACGAATAGCAGTTCAGTTCTATATCCCACCGTATTTTGTGAATAATGCGGAGTATGCAAGGAAAACATATATGTGTAGGGTTTATTAGAATCGTCTCAATAAGTATTATCACAATATGCAAATTTTATAATTTTTACTTATAAAAATAAAGTTATTGATGGTTAAAGTTGTGTATTGGCTATTGTGATAAAAGAAACAGGACAAGTGAAAAAAACAGAGGAAGTAGTATTTATTCTCCCATAACTTGAGTTATGTATGATTTTAATAACACGATATTGGTATTCCGATAGTATCTTCTATCGATACCAACAAAAACATTTTTACATCTATTGATATTAAAGAAAAAGTATTTTGGTATAATGATGATACCATCTAAAGTATAATTTAATACTAATGCGTGTTATTAGAGTTCTTTATAGCTCAAATTATTATAAATAATAACATAAATAAGTGTTTCTCTAATAATAAGCTACGAGTATACTACTATTTAGGATGCATATACTCCCTCCGTATTTAAATAAGTGAAACGTTTTACCTTTTTGCATTATTCATCTAATTGACTTTGACTAATGTTTGTGATTTAGGGCATGTTCTGATTGACTAAACTGGGCCGAATTAAACTAAACTGAACTGAATATTTATGAGAGAAGGAATTAAGAACTGAACTGAACTTATTAGAGCTGAACTACTGAACTGAAAATAATCTAAAGAGAATAGGCCCTTATACATACATAAGAATAAATATAGTCTTGTGAGTACTTGTTGGAATCGTCTCATTTAATATTTTATTAATATTAAATTGTTATAAGTTTTATTTATTGATAATTAAATATATTATCAATCAATATTTTTCATTAACATACTTTACAAGAGAAATATTTCACTTATTTAAATATATAAAGGGAGTAATAAATAGTTAGTTACTCCCTTCGTCATCTCATTTCTTATTTTTCACTGGAATTAAGGTTTTTGTAGCTAGTTTTCTTAAACCATGTGATTGGAAGTATCAAAGTACATTAAGGCCCCTTTCTTTAAAGCTGCTCTGCTCTGCTGAGCCCTGCTTTGCTCTGCTCTGCTCAAAAGAAATCTGCTCTGTTCGGTTCTGCTATGCTCTCTATTTTCAAATAATAATTAATAATAACAACAAAAATAATTTATATTTAATAATAATAATTAATATTGTATTGATGATAATAATTTATTATTTTGAATAATTATAATAATTATTAATATTAAAAATAATTTTAATAATTAATAATAATAATAATAATTATTAATAATAATTATCAATAATAATATTTAATAATTCAAACTATTAAGAATTAATATTTAATAATATTATTAATTAATAATTTCTAATAATTATAACAATTCTTTCAAAAAAATAAATAAATAAATAAATAAATAAATAAATAATAATAATAATAATAATAATAATAATGTTGAAATCTGCTTTGTTTTGCTCTGCTATCCTGAAATCCGCTCTGCTCTGTTTTGCTGAAATTTAATTTGCTTTGCTCTGCTGACCCCTGCTCTGCTCTGCCTATAAGCTCAAAAGAACAAGGCCTAAGTGCAATTAAATAACAAGTGAGAGAAAGAAAAAAAAAAAGAGGTTAATAATTGCCAAAAAGAAGAAGAAAAAGTACCAAGAAAGAAGAAGAAGAAGAAGAAGAAGAAGAAGAAGAAGAAGAAGAAGAAGAAGAAGAAGAAGAAGAAGAATGAGGAGGGAGAACATATGTTGGTGGATTAATAAATGCCAAAAATATTTGGCACAAAAAAATAGTAAAAATTGAGGATAATTTGGGGATTAAATTAGGATAATGAGGTTAAAATTGTAAAAAAAAAAAAAAAAAAAAGCACTTACTAAAAAAGGAAAGATTCTAACAATGGGAAAAGGACTAGTGGACTCTAATAAAAAGGGCGGAGGGAATATATCCTAATGTGTGATTGTATTAGAGGTATACATGCATAAGTGAACATTAAATATTTAAAATTCATGGTTAACTCTTTTTAATATGACTTAATTTTATATATATATATATATATATATATATATATATATATATATATATATATATATATATATATATAATGTAACTTTACAATTAATAATTATAACCTATATGAAAGATTCAAAATTTTTCCATAAAGTTAATATTAGACTATTTTGAAAATTTTATATGTAATCTTTGTTGCGACAATAGTCTTCGGAGCCTTGTTGGTGGGTTTTGAGGGTTGTAAGATTAAACAATCCCTTATTAGTTGGGTTGGTGGTCCGGGTTGTAGCCTTGTTTTGGGTGTGGATGTGTTCCCCTGGTAGTTAAAACAGATTTCCAGGGGGAAAGTTATTTGCGCAGGTGGATGGTTTTCCCTGCATATGGAGTTTGCAGGAGGAGTGTGGTTTTAAGGGAAGAGTTTGGTTTGCAGGTCTTGTTGCTAGGTTGTGGGATGATATGGGCATTCAGGCAATTTCAATCATCCCTTTGTTAGTTTGGGTGATGACAAGGTCGGTTATCGTTGTTAATCAATATCTTGAAGGAGGCTACCCATCTTTGATGTTTGGGTTAAGCAAAGTCCTCCATTTTCTTGCATTCTCTGTTGGTGGAGTTGCAAGAGGAGAACCTGCATTTGGATGCACGGTTTCTCATAGAGTCGTTACATTATATGACTCTTTAGGTTTTATTACCAGACTCCTAGGATGCAGTTATGCTTTTCGATCCCTAGGAGTGGAATGGTGTCACACAGCAAAAGGGTGTATATTTCAGGGTCTTTCGTCTCCTAACAGTTTCTATCTACCACTTTGGGTTCTTTTCAATGTTTGTGATTTGCGCTCTTAGTCCATCTCGATTGTTTCAGTTCATTTGGCTTCTCTTGGTCCACAGTTTGGAAGTGATTCGGTTTTCTTGGTTGTTCGGGCTCCGCAGTTATTGGCACTACAACAAAATAAAGCAAAGGTAACAGTGTAAAACCATTGCCTAATATAAAAAAAGTGTTGCCATGTAGCTAAGGCTACATTTTTATTCAAAGGTAACAATTTTGAAAGCCAAGGTAAAATGATATGTAAGGCAACACTTTTACAAAGACAACAAATACACACACACACACACGCACGCGCGCACACACACACACATATACATCTTAAATTATGTTGTCTTTTTAATATAAATGTTGCAATAGATGGAAACATAGATATTAATGTTACATTTTCAAACAATAGGTTTGTTACTGTTACCTTTTCATGCAACAATTATTATGTTTGTTGTCTTAGACAAGAAAAAGGTAACACTTTAAGTGATTGTTGCCTTATATAGTCTAGAGCAACACTTTTTTTTTCTGTTACTTTAGTTTAAGGTAACAAATAAATATTGTTGCGTTAGATTATTAAAAGTAACATTTCTGTAAGTGTTGCAATCTCAAGGGTTGCGTATTCTCATTTATTTTTTTGTAGTGTGGTTTGCTGCAAGATCATGCCAGTATTTTGTTCTCATCGTTCTTCCTGTAATAGTACTTGGTGTGTGTCTTTTAGTGTTTAGGTTGCAATACTGCTTTTCTTTAATAGCATCTTTTGTCTCAAAAAAAAATATACCTTGTTAAAGATTTGCAATTGAACTTTTACTTTTTCATGATATCTTGGAAGGAAAGATACTAGACTATATCATACTCCTAGCTTATTGCTCATCTTTCGTTTTGTAGTGTAAAAAAAAAAAAAAAAAAAAAAAAACTGAAATTTACGAAGTATTCTTTTATGAAATCTTTAATAACTTTGTGATTTCCTTAAAAAAAAAAGAGAGAGAGAGAAAGAACTCTGTTGTAACTACTCCCTTCGTCCCATAACAGTGGCGGATCCACTAAGGCACAAGGGGTAGCACATGCTACCCATAAAAATTTTGGGAAAAAAAAAAGAGTTCAAAGAGACCTGTTATCGTAAATAACTGGTCTCTTTGAGGCTGCTATAAAAAGTAGCAACAAACCCGCCTGTTTTCCATACTAAAACAAAAGAGATATGTTATATATAAACAGGTCTCTTAGATTCTTCCTTTAACATACTTTCTATTTTAAAAGAAAAGAGACCAGTTATACATAAAACAGGTCTCTTATCTTAATTTTATTTTCTTACTTATTTAATTTTTTTTTATTATTGATTACTTTTACTTATATTTGTACATAAGTTTTCGTTTTTGAAGGACTCTCATTTATAAAAATTATAAAGTAATAGAATCTATCGACCAAAATGAATTTTTAAAATTTAAAGGCTAATTATTAAACGATAATACTAATATATAATATAGAACTTTTTTCTAATTTTTTTCCCCTTACTATTCTATGCTACCCCTATTTAGAATTCTTGAATCCGCCACTGTCCCATAATATAGTTCATGTTTAAGAAAGAGGAGAGAAAGTGGATAAAGTACATCAATAAAAGCGAAAAGTACAATAATAAACAAAAGTTAGAGAAAGAAAGTGGAAAAAAAGTAGTACAAAATATGTGCACAATTAAAGGGTAAAATAGGAAGTATAATAAATAAAGTCAAAAAAGTGAGGGCCAAGTATAATGGTCTTTCTATGCTATCCAAAAATAAAAACAATGAATAATATTTTGGTTTTCCAAAATAGAAAAACAAAAACTATATTATGGGACTAAGGGAGTATATGATCTCTTTAGGTGTTGAGTAGTCAAATTTCCAATTTTAACCGCACATATGCCTCCAATTTCTCCAAACCTTGAATACTCGATCAGCTTTTATTAACTCTTAAACATGTTTTAGTATTCAATAACATCCATAGTTTCCAGTTTTCCACTATGAGAAATTTTTTATTAATAACAAAAATCGAAAATGTACCAAATTAATATACCTTGTCGTCCTTGGATATTATCACAGATATGTTCTAGTCGTGATCAAACTTAGAGGAGAAGACTATGCTAGGATTAATTCCTACAATAAACTTAAATCTTCATATCAAATTAATCGGTAAATCTTAATTGCGGAAGCATACCTGATTCCATGACAATTGATCGAACTCCTTCTTGAATTGTCAATAATAGAGAGTTTAGAGAGAATAGAGTAGTATGTATTGTATTAGCGTATAAACACACATATATATACAACCTATCAAGTTAGGGCTCGGAATATGTACACGGCCCAATAGCTATACACACATTATGGCTTAACACCCCCCCTCAAGTTGGAGCATGCAAATCACAAAAGTCCAACTTGCCAAGTAAATACAAGAACTGTATTTTGCTCAAAGCCTTAGTGAAAATATCCGCTAGTTGATCCGTCGTTTTGACATACGACGGACTAATAATACCATCCTAAATCGCATCGCGGACATAATAGCAATCAACCTCAATGTGTTTAGTACGCTCATGAAAGACCGGATTCCGCGCAATATATAACGCAGATTGACTATCACAAAACAAACTCATTGCGCGGGGATGTGCGACTCCCAGACTCAGAAGTAGAGCTTTCAACCACTTCAACTCATCCGTGGTTTTAGACATTGAACAAAATTCGGCCTCAGAAGACTTAGCCACAATGTCTTGTTTCTTAGTCTTCCAAGATATAGGGGAAGCACCAAGGAACACCAACCAACCAGAGATAGAACGTCTCGTCAAAGGACAACTATCCCAATCCGAGTCACACCAACCTGTAATATGTAGATCACAATCAGAGCTCAAAAGGATTCCCTGACCCGGACATCCTTTCAAGTAACGCACCGTACGAAGAGCGGCCTCCCAATGATCCTGACGCGGTTGTTGCATAAATTGAGACAAGATATGAACCGCATAAGCCAAATAAGGTCTCGTGAAAGATAAATAGATCAAACGACCCACAAGACGACGATATATTTCAGGATCAGAAATAAGAGGAGACTCCAATTTAGCCAGAGTATGATTATGCTCAATAGGGTTACCTGCAGGACGTGCCCCTAGCAAACCGGACTGTTGGACTTAATGATTTTGATGATGACACAACCTCACTTACTTACAAACTAATAAGTGCTTGACTGTTTAAGTGTGTACTCAGTTGCAAAGACCAGGAGAATTAAATGCCTTACAAAAATACCATGAGGAACAAGAAGGCTAAAAGCAGAGCTATCCATAAAGAAGAGTTCCTTTGAAGGAACTGGTGCTTCAGAAATGAAGAGTGGAGAAGAGAAGGTTCCCTCAGGGAACAGAAGCTTGAGAGAAGAAGCCTCATCAAAGAAGAGAAGTTCCTTCCAAGGAACAGGAAGCCTCGGAGTAGAAGCTTCATCAAAGACATGAAGACTAAAATATATTTTGTATTCTAGGATTTATGTAAGTATAAGATATTAATTTGCACTCGAAAAATCTGTGTGGAATTGGTCTAAAAGATAAAATATGTGCATGCTAGTTTTTAGGAAAACTGTTGCTTTCTAAAAACGTTTATCCTTTTGAAAGGGATTTTATTTTATTCTGAATTTCAAAAATATCTTATGCAAAAAGATTTTATTTTATTTTCTTATTTTTGAAAATATCTTTTGGAAAAATAAAATCACCATGTTTTCCAAAACTTGCGGCCTACTCTCCCATGTTCTTCTTCAGTCATGGTTTTGCACATTGAGGAGTTCATGGTTCCTTAATTCAAGGGACATGATCTTCTTAGTGGGTATGAGTAGTGGCGTGATGGATTTGCTGCACAAAGAGGTTTTTCCAATATGTTTATTGCTCTATAAATAGTCTTTGAAATATGATGGAAAAACTCACCCTTGCTCACATAAGTTTTCAAGCTTTTAATTCGAGTTAAGTGTCAATTCCACACAAGTTCATTAGAGTGTTCTTAATGTACTTATACTAGAGTTTATTTATCTTTCGAGTTGTAATTTGGGGAATGGGAATTTTTGAGTGAACTTTTGTGTATGAGAAAGAGAAGTGAGAAAGAGAAGAGAAAGAAAAAAGAGAACAGAGAACTGAGAAGAGAGAAAGAGAAAAGAAGAGTAACAAGTTGGGTGACTTGTTCCTCGGGGTTTCAAGTTCGTAGAGGAACTTGAGTTTGAGTCTTTAGGTTGTAATAGGACCATTTGCCCTATTCTAGTGAAGATTCTTTTCCCAAAATCCCAAGTGGTCGTGGTTTTTCTCCTTGTTAGGGCCAAGGAGTTTTCCACGTAAAATCTCTCTTGCATTCTTTAGTTCCTTTAGTTAAACTTTCAATTCCTTTAGCTAAATTAATTTTAATTCCGCAAAAAGTTTGGCTAAACTCTCGTACTACAATTCAACCCCCCTTCTTGTAGTATTCTTTAAAACAACAATTGGTATCAGAGCCTAACTTCTAGGAAAATCAGGAAACCCTGAAGAAGAAAGGTCTTGGAGAAAATGAATACTCATGAAAAGCTCGAGGAAGGATACTCAACTCAGAGGCCTCCTATGTTCAACGACAAGTTCTATACTTACTGGAAGAACCACATGGAGATCTTTATCAAGGCAGAGAACTACCAAGTCTGGAGGGTCATCGAGGTTGGTGATTTCGAAGTCACCAAAACAAATGCTCAGAACGGGTAATCCCTAAGCCTATGTCTGAATATGAAAAAGAGGACTTTGATAAAATGGAAATAAATGTTATGGCTGTGAAATTGCTCCACTGTGGACTTGGACCTCACGAACACAATCGTGTTATGGGGTGCAAGAACGCTAAGGAAATATGGGATTTGCTGCAGATTACTCATGAAGGAACTAATGAGGTTAAACGCTCAAAAATCGATCTACTTATGTCTAAGTATAAAAGATTTGAAATGCAGCCTAAGGAAACCATTCAAGAGATGCTAACACATTTTACTAACATCATAAATGAGTTGGTTTCCCTTGGTAGACAGATTCCTACAGATGAGCAGGTTAGGAAGGTTCTTAGAAGTCTTCCACAAGATGAGAGATGGAGATCACTACTACAAAAAAGGCCAAAGAGACCCGTTGAAAAAGGCCAAAGAGACTGCTTTAGAGGCGGTCTCTAGCTCAGCGGTCTCTTTGGCAAAGAGACTGCTTTATTAGAAGTGGTCTCTACAACGAAAAAACTGAGACCGCCTATCTAAGATAAGTGGTCTCATTTTTTTGAAAATTGGGACCGCCTATCTAACATAGGCAGTCTCTTTTTTCAGAAATTTGAGACCACCTATTTAAGGTAGGTGGTCTCTTTTTTTCAAAAACTAAGACTATTTATTTAACTCAACCGGTCTCTTTGGTCTCATTTAAAATAAATAAAAAATTAAGCATTTAATTATTCTTATATATTCGGAGTACTATGTTGAAATTACTGGAATATTGCAAGTTACACCTTCACATTAAAAGAATCAAAATTGCATAATTAAATGTTTCATATTTAGATACAAACTATTTTGTCAAACTTGAAATCCATTACAAAATTATATTGAAATTATATAGTTATATACAAAGTGGAAGAGATGGAAACGAATTCTTCAACTGCAAAATCTCGAACTCTCAATTGTCCAATACCTTCAATGTTCTTACAAAATCCCATAAACCTAATTCAGAAAAAATCATTTTCCAAAATAATCAAAATAACTTATAAATTACATAATTTTCATTAAATAAATTGTAAAAAGAACTAAAAATAAACAATTACCTCACATTTCATCTAGTATACCAATGAGTTGACAGTAGATAAAGGCAGAAGAAAAGTAACTGAATAACCACTACCTTTAATTTTATATTTTGCATATTGTCCGACGTTTCCCTTCCTTTTCGTATAATTCATGAAATTGGGCTTTAATTTCCACCAGATTGCAAGCATTTTACTCTGTTCAAATTCAAACCCAGATCTGGTCAACTAAGATTGTAAGAGAACAATACTCATAAAGAAAAGAAAGTACAAAAAAAATTGGGATAAATTGACGAGTAATTTTCACAGATTATACACTACTACATTTTTGATCTATTGCAACCCCTAAATCCGTTGCATTAGGCATCAAAATCCGTGGCATTAGGCCTAATGCAACGGCCATGTACCGTGGCATCTGCTGGCATTGCAGTAGGTCTAATGCAACGACTTATGACACCTAATGCCACGGCACCATTGATCTGTGGCAATAGACCAATACCTATTGCAACGGCATAACTTATCCGTGGCAATAGAGTACTGACTAATAATTATGATGAAATTGAACCTATTGCAACGACATAACTTATCCGTGGCAATAGAGTATTGACTAATAATTATGATGAAATTGAACCTATTGCAACGGATGAAGCTAATTAATACAAAGGTAAGAGTACGTATCTACTGCAACGGATTGATCATTGGGTTATTTTTTTTTTGTTGGGATGGAATGGTAATATAATATTAATTAGTCGGTACAAATCTAAATATACTAACATAAACAAATTAATGTATCATTTATATATAATAATTATAATGCAAAATACGTACATTACAAAACATTACTTGCCTATTTTTGATATGACATACCGTACTAATAATAAATAAAAGTTAGATAATTAATTTGATCGTCCAAAATACAAATTGTCAACATATATATAAGCCGAAATATCCAAATCTTCACAAAGCCGGAACTTGAATAAGAGTCGCCAACATATATGCACCATTTGTTAGATGGATAGTCACTATACTTCCGCTCCATTTGACTCCCCATGCACCTACACGTAAAATTGAAAAAAATAAAAGAAATATAATTAAACTAAATTATAAATTATAATAGACCAAGGCCACAATCAACATAGCTCAGATTATGGTTGTTTAAAAGATGGCAGCAAAGAAATTTTTTTTTTTACACAGAAAGGAAAATATTATTAATTTATAGTGGCAGTAGCCACATTAATTACCAAAAGATAAGCATTCCAAGTCTGAAAAACAAAATAGCACCCTCGGAATATAACAAAGTACTAGCTAAATAACCAACAAGAAATAGAACTAAGTAGTAGTCAAAGGTATTCTGGAATCAAAAGCACCAGATTCATGCACTGTAGGTGAACTAATTAAGTTGCCACCATTATTTCTGGAAGGGGCACATTAGGAAAATTGTTAGAAGTGTGCACCTAAGAGAAGCTAAAAACTGTAAGTCTGTAAAGATGCCAAAATTTATACCAAGAATTTCCTTATCATTCTTCTCCCCTAAAAAAAAAAGAAAAAAAAAATCAAAACGGTGCAGAAAATTAATGCCCCCGTACATTGCTTAAATTTTTTTTATATTGCGCCTGATTATGACCAAAAACAGTAACAGGGTCAACCCCACTAACCCCCCTCCCCCCAAATAGCCTATGTCTGAGACTCTGAGGAACACCGTCCATGAAAACGAGTCTAGTGTCTCTCCATTAGCACAGCACAAGGATACACATAAGGAGATAACACGTAGCCTTCAAGCTAAAAAATTCTCACAAGTATTAAGTTTCTTCAAACATGCGTATACAGTATACACATACCATGGCATGCTATAAAATTCTCACAAGAATTATGTTTCTAGTGCCTCTGAGAAATGATGTAGTGTGTAGTTACATTCTTGTTAATCCTAAACTTAAAACTGCAATTCTGATTCCCCAAAAAAAAAAAAAAAAAAAAGGCACATGAAAAAGGCGATGTTTATAGCTTTGGGGTTGTTTTGTTGGAGCTAATGACAGGGAAAACAACTATAGTAAACAGAGATGATGAGCGCAGCTATTTCAAGTAGTACGATTTCAAGTAGTATGATGAAAACAGAAAGTACGAGTAGTAACTCAAGAATCTAACTCAAGAATCTTGTCCTTATTGATTGATAATATAGAAATGCAGCAGGCTATAAAAAGAAATCAACAGCAGCAACATTTCAACAGTAGGTTCCCAGGTCACCAGCAAACAAAAAAAAGCTAGAGAGAAGCAATAGAAAATATTTTATGTTACCTGATTGATTGTGGCACCAGATTTAGAAGATTGCCCATTTTGGTCAACAAGAAGATGTGGCGCACTAGATGCATCCTTTGGAGCCGATGGAATTGCAAAATCAGGAATAAAAAGATTGATCCCAGGGTTAGCATCCCGAAGTTGAGTCAAAATTGCAGTTGTTACGCTTGGTGCAAGTTGTTGTACTAATTGAGATTGCATACTTTCTAAAAATTCTGTCGGGAATATGAAATCTGACTTTTTATCTTTTTTTTTCAAATCCGACTTTTTTACACCTTTTCCTTGTAAGCGTACACGACTTTTGCGCTTAGGATCTGGAATCACTTCAGAGTAAGGGTCCTTCGAGTTACTACCATCTCGATCTTCATGTTGGGAAGACTCCAAAGCATCCATTTTAGCCTATTTAGGGAAATAAAGCCACCTACTTATTATTTATCAAAATTAAAAAAATATAACATACATCTAAAATGTTAACTCACAATATTCTCTTCTATTTTTTCATGGTTGGTAAGGTATTTCCTTCCCACCGTCCTTTTTCTTGACTCCTTATAAACCCTTGCTTGAGAAGGTTCTTGCTTATTAGGATCCTGTTGTTTCTGTGGAAACATAAATACATAAAATTGAAGTGATTATTACAAATAATTAAAGGACAGGGGTGAAAGTCTCATGTAGTACATATAGTGATTGTAAAATAAAGATTATAAAGTTAATAAAATTGCCTAGAAATGAGATGAATTATTTACCAACTTATGGCGTAAAATTGCGTAAGAGTTACGGCCCATAGTGTGCATATCATCTAACAGTTGGCGATTGTCTTTGTTGATTTTACTGATTTCCTATGTGAAAACACAATCAAGATTTATAAATTTGAACCACGTAAAATATCGAATAAGTATCTACTTTCTAATATTAATACAATAGGAAAGATGGTACCAAAAATCATGTAAATAGTCTATATCAGGCCTCATAACCCAAGCAAGACATAATCTATATCAGGCTATGAAAGTAAATAGTAGCTTGCAAAGTAAAAACAACTCCGGAAACAAAGGCGATCATAAAAACAGTAAACTGAAAGAGTGACTTTTTTTGTCATGAAACTATGTCAATATTGCACAAAACCAGCTCAAAACCATATACATAATACCTCAGCCTCTTTAGAATGCCAGTATTGCAAAAGCTCTCTAAATTGAGGTTCTGAAATTGTGTCTGGCTTATGAAACCATAGTAAAGCATCAGTGGGATATGCAGAGAAGTAGTTCCTCTTAGTAAAGCATTTATGAGCTTTCCAGCTTCCATTGATAGCCTGCATCACCCATTCTCTTCCAGCTTCAGGAACCATATATTTTTCCTAAACAAATCATGAATATAAAACATTAGTATGTAACATGTATGTAGCATATGGAGGTCCAATTATTAACGAGGAATTAATTATGTAGAATAGAAAATGAAATCCAACAAAATGAATTATAATACTACGTACTTGGACATACTCCCACATTTTGTCAAGTGTGGGTAGACTTGGAAAGTTAATATAATTTAGTGGTGCAAGTTCAGAATCCCTTGCCACAGTACCCAAGAATTGCTTGAAATCCTGAACAATTTCCCGTGTAGGTCCAACTGGTTGGCCAAGTGAGTTTAAAATAATAACTTCACGCTCGTCTCTTGTTCGTGCATGAACCTTGGGTAGCATTGTTGGACCTCGATGCCTTTTTCTGTTAGGAGCTTTTTCAGGTTCTTTTTCTGGTTCTGTTTCTGTGCACATTTGTAAGAAACATGTCACAAGATGGAGGTCTGTTTTTTTCATTGAGAAGGTGCCTGGGTTGCCTGTTTTGTGTTTTTGAAAATCTATTTTGTGGAACAGGCTCCTACTCAGTCTATACACATAATAGAATACAACTATACACAAAAATGATGAATTCCTCTGCTCAACAGACCCTGGTTCAGCGCCTGTAGACCCAAACAGTCCATAGATGTATGTCCAACATACAAAAACTTATGATTATTTGAATCTTAGAAGTTGTAAGATGCACTGTGGCAGGCTGGAAACATATGCTTTTTCCACCACAACATACAATAACTTATCGTCAAAATTATTCCCGGCAATTTTTTACTTAAAAGGTTTTTACTAAAGCTGAAAAGACCAACATGAACACGCACTGAGCATTGAATGTTCAGTCAAATCAAGAAAAAAACTTCAAGATACTTCACAAAAATTACAATAAAAATCACATCATAAGAAGACAGAAAAGCGGATGGAGAGGATTTTCCATCTATCATGAATTGCTTGAGGGCGATGTGTTGGTCTTTCATCTAATTGAACGTACAAAATTTAAGGCAAGCTTCTCAGATTAGTACTCAGTTACTCACTACATAGTACAGAAATATTTGAGTCATGACGGAAAAATGCAGGTTTACCTCCTACATATGCATGTCACTCTCAGTAATTTTTTATCCGAATTTCCAAAATTTACGCTAAGACAGAAGAAATCCAAAAGTTAATGAGAGTGATGTGCATATCTAGGAGTTTAACTGGGAATCCCCTGAGTCTTCGCTGATAATTATAGTTCATGCTCGAATATTCTGTTTCTTGTGTCTAACATAGTTATGACATGAAAGCACATGGGCAACTATATAAATGAACTAAACACAAACAAGAGAGTGGTTTGATGGTAATTAGAATCCTGAAGTCCATGCCCTTCGTAGTTTTGTTGTACTACTAATAACGGACTCTGAGTTTTCTTTAGGCTTATTTATGCTTGCCTTTGACTGGTCTAGCTATGCCCAACAGACTGTTAATTTTCTGGTTACACATAAGTAGTTACATATCTCAGGAATTTGCAAATTGCAATATCACACTTATATCGGGGAAACTGGGTAAGCATCCCCTTGTCTTTTGCCAACCAAGTAATCTCTGAAAATTCTCTACAATTTGTGTCATAGTATAATAACAATACACTCACAAACTATAATTAAGTATTATAAGTATACAAAGATAAAGAGTAGTCATCCATCACACTCAATATACTTGCATGTATGCATAGGTTAGGTCATTTCATAATATGTACAGAGAATTATTTAATTTGACCGAGTTTTGATGACTGAGCTCAATAACATTAAACCTGAAAAAGAGGTCTGTAAAACCCCCTAGTAGCTCTCCTGTAATACAAATTTGTGAATTATTATTTAACAGGCACCAATTCATTCAGTTTGTGATATGTCATCAGATTATTTCTAATTTACGCAAATAACAGTAAAACCATAGTATGTTAAGAAGAAATTTAAGATTTTCAGTGGGCATCCAAATAACCAAATCTTTGGCATAAAATAAAAAAAAATCCCCATGTAGATGGAAAACACATAAAACAGGAGAAAAAAAGAAAGGAAAAACAAGAGGAAAAAAGAAAGGAAAAACAGGAGGAAAAAAGAAAGGGAAAAAAAGCTAAGGGACTGAACAAGAAGGAGAGGTAGCTGGGAAGGAAGTAAGAGAAAAACAATACCTTGTGTTCCTTCCCTTCCATAGTTAGATAGAAGGTCATCTTCTAATTCTTGATCACCTTCATGTTCATTACCAACATCATCATCATTCTCATTCAGTGCATCCGCTTCATCAAGCCACCTACTTAGTGCATCCGCATCATCATTGTCATTCTCATAAAATGCAGCGCCACAAATCCTTGTGTTTCTTGTAAGAGAATCATTCAATGACTGATTACTAGCTACAAACGCTTCATTATTTTCTTTTTGCTTTTTCCGAAACTCGAGGTACGCTGACATGGAACCAGGAGAACAGAACGCTCGTTTTGATCCCTTCTTTTCTGAGATAACTTGCTCCTTCTTTTGGATGCATTGATCTTGAACTCTAGCAACCTTAAGTGAGTGAATGTTCTGAACTTCATCAACAGCATGCTTCTTACGGCTATTCACTTCCACAACATCAGCCATAGTTTTGGGGCGAAGTGATGATTTATTTACTTGCTTTGAAACCTATAAAACAAAGGGAAAATAAAGCATTACTAATTACATGTAAACCATGATAAACAATAAAAACAGCCTGTATAAATGAAAAAATAGAAGTACACACCTGTTTACTGGCTTTTCTTTTTCCAGAAGTGAGATTGTCAGTTTCAACCTCATTTTCACCATCATATTCCGACGTAGAGGCATCATCCTCATTTTCTGGTGTACTATTCAGCATTGCACTTGGACAAAATAAGGCTTTTGTTTTGTCTTCAAGTATCTTATTAGCAAGTGATGCCGATCCTAGGGCTTCCATTCTTTCTGCATTGACTTTTAGTTTTTGAAGCCGTTGCAGCTCATATTCCGTAAGCTGATTTTTGGAAGCAGCAACTTTGGGTCTACTCCGTTTCATCTAGGAAAAAAAATGGAAGTATGTTAATTTTGAATGTAAATACAATAAACTGAAATGAATTACAATGTAAAATAAGCTCATTTATAACATATAGTGAAGTACTAAAAAAATGTATGTTAATACCATCTGAAAACTCTCTAGGAGGGATTTGAATAGCATAATGCCACCCTTCTCTATTCAAATCTTCTACATAAAACACTTGATGTGCTTGATTTGCTAAGATAAAAGGTTCTTCTTTAGAAACGGTCTTATTCATATTAACCGTAATGAGCTCATCATCAGCCTTTTCTGAGTGAAACCATTGACATCTAAATAAGACAACACTGAAATGACCATGATAGGATATCTCAATGATTTCTGTTACTGAACCAAAATAATTAACATTTCCCACAATAGGATTTTGATATTTGGAGCTTGCAAAGCTATGTGTAGTGGCTATTAGAGTGACGCCACTGTTTTGAGTTACGCAATTTGCATCTCGCTTCATGGTATGAAACCTATAGTCGTTAACTGAGTACCCTGTGTGCTTTTTGGCAACATGAGAGGGACCAAAAAATTTCATACTATGCTGCATAAATGAACCAAAAAACTCTTAGAAAGAAATTCTTACTATAAAAACATATTATGTTTACAAATATGGTTGACTTGTTTTTTTTTTTTTTTTTTGAGTAAAACGCTGAGTAACATATTAAAGAAGATCAAGTTCCGCCAAGGTCATGAGACTTTGCGAAAACGGACCAAAACAAACAAACTCATTACAGTTTCTAGTGTCCCATCTTGCTACTAAGTGGGCTACTGTATTTCCCGGCCTTTTAACATGCGAAATAGAAAAGCAAACAAACAATAAAGAAAGAGCTAGAATGTCATCTATCATAAGAGAAAAAGGAGAGCAGCCTCTGGATTTCTGCTTGACCTTATTTACCACCTCCAACGCATCACTTTCCATTTCCACCCTTTCGTACCCCATTCTTCTGGCCAACTTCAGCCCATATACCACTGCTGCAGCCTCCGCAATATCCACTGGCCAGCCATCTCCTCCTTTGCTCACAGCAGCAACCAAGATCCTACCCTCCTCATCTCTCGCAACCACTCCAAGCTGAGTAATATCCCTGACATGCGCATCACAGTTGATTTTAACCACTCCACTCAACGGTTTTCTCCAATAATTGGCAGCATGGGGGGTTACGTTGGACAGCTGGGTGGACCCTTATAGCATAGCTATTGTAATCCCGAACCAAATGAGACAAACATGTTGCAACGGCTATTAGAGTTGCCCAACTTGTCAGTTCATCCTTTGACAATCTGTCCTTCAACCACAACAGCCTTGTGGTGATGATATCTCTCGGAGCTTGCATAAGAATCTCCACGAAGGGACTTACATCCCATATGCTCCAAGTTGCAGAGCATTCAAACAGGGCATGAATAATAGACTCCTCACCACCCCTACACAAAAAGCAAGTTTTATCCTCTAAAATATGGCGATATACTAGTCTTTCCCGAACAGCAAGAAAGCCTTTACAAGCCCTCCACATGAAACGATGGAGTTTTGGAGGGGCTCTCATACTCCATATCAGCTTCCATACCACGTCCCATGTACTATCAGCCTCCAAGAGTCCTTCATATTTCCCAAACCAGTAGCCCGAACGAACACTGTACTCCCCATTCTTATTCGGCCACCAGTACATCACATCACCAGGACCACGGTTTGAGAGAGGAATTGACAGGACTGCAGCCCGTTCACCATCAATGAATGTATTATTCACCATCTCCACATCCCACGTATTATTCTCATGGTTAATTAAGTCACAGACCCTTAAATTCCAGTCACTATCCACAGAGGGTGTAGGGACCCATACGGATGTATTACCAGGAAACCAAGCATCACTCCATACACTGATTTTACTCCCAGTACCAACTCTCCATTTCAAACCCTCTAACAGCAGTGATTTCGCCCCCCACACACTCCTCCAAACGAAACTAGGGTCAAAACCCACGCAAGAATCCAACACATCACAATTTTTAAAATATTTTTTGTATCAGTATTGTGGTGTAACCGCCAGAATTGCTTGAATATAACTATATCAGTATTCACAACATTTTCTCTTTTCATTATTTAAATGCAAGCACACAATAAATATATTATACCAATTTTTTCATGACTTGAATATAACTATATAAGTATATAGTATAGTTGTGAACATGTGACCCAAGAAACGTCATTGATATATCAAAACAATTTCAGGTGAATTTTTCAGTAGTTGACCCCTCATTAGGCATGCTAAAGATATAGAGATGGCAAACAAGTTATTTGAAATTGCTCGGATTAGTTCAATCATTCTGAATTTTAATAGGTTTGCGACAAAAAACAAGCACTAATTTGGTTAATTTGAAGTACATAATGGGATTTAGTTTTGGTTAATTGAAGCTTCATAAGGGATCTCTTTCCTGCATTATCTGTCTTTCCTCTGATGTTGCCAGATAATCAGGGCAAGAATCAGGGATAAGTATTGAAGCTTTGGTAGTATTCGTATTCTTTGAGAAAAGTTACTTGAGATTTTAGGCCAGAAAGTGGTTATATAGCTAGGACTCAAGGTCTTAATAGCGGCTTGTTTGGATAATATTTTAGGAAGGGAACGAAGAAAACTGGGAGGGGAGAGGAAGGAAGAAAATCTGAGGGGAAACGAACTTTTTTGTCTTATTATAGAGAATAGTTGATCCATTTGAACTTGCTTTTCTTCATCAACAGAAGAAGAAAACCCACCAAATTGGAGCCCCAAAAAATGCGATTCTTTATCATTTACTGCTGCCTACAACACCAAAGATCCTTTGCCACTTCCACAAAGACATTCACCTGAAGGTGAAGTTCATCATCCAACAACACCACAAAATACTACCATTGCTGATGGCTGGGTGTGATAAAAAGTTTTCTTCACTCCTGAAATATTTGTTAATCTCTTAACTGAGGTTTAATATATGTAGGTAATTTCATCTTCAAAATTCTTGATTTGAAATTGGGGAAGTCATGACAATTTAGAATGTCAATTGTGAATCTAGGTTTCTTATCTAAGAGAGAGACAAAGACAAAGAAAATGAAAAAGGAGTTATTCTTTTTGGAAGAACTCAAGTGTTAATGGGAGAAAATTAAGATGTTGGTAAAGGTAATATTGTCGTTTCATGTTAATCGAATGTCTTATTCCCATTTTCTTTCCACATCTTCCCAATTTTGGAGAATTTTGTTTCTCAAAGAATATATAAACAAATTTCCTCCCTTTCATTTCTCTCACCTACATAATATACCATCCAAATTAGGGAAATTACATCCCTTATCCCTCTATCCAAACAATGTTCCCGTAAAGGTGATCATGTGAATTGACTTTAGATCCATAATCGGGGTACCTTCTGTCTGGTCTCAACTCTTATTAGACTTTCCTTGATCCTGATGTATGATATTCTCCAAAATGAGACTGATGCTATGGATGGTGATAATTATTGTTTACTTACTCCCCTTTCCTGTTAAAGGATAAATTCTATTTTATTCCATTCTTATCTTCAATAATATATTTAGCCTAGATATTAGGTTTACGCTTAGTCTTATGTAAGTTGTTAGTCTTTGATTACTACGCTAGTTTGTAGGAGTATAATATAGCAGTGGTTATGCTAACAACCGCATGCAAACTTGTATATATATCTCTGTACTTTGCCTTTTGTAAATCAAGCAATCAAATACACAAATCTAATAACAATTATTCAAAACCTTATATTTCCCTCCCTGATCTTTTGTCAAAGTGTCTAGGCCTCTAGGATAAGCATTGAGAACTGCAAATTAAAAACACCTTCTCTCTGACATATACCTATTTGGCTATTTACTTGCTGCATGATGCCATGAACGGATGAATACTCTTGTACATTATTGTAGGTGCAACTAGGAGCATTGGCTGTTTGACATTTGTGCTGGAATGGCTTATATTCTGAATATTTTATTGATGTTGTTTAACAACTATATGAAAGTGATGAAACTGAAAGAAAGCTGTTTTGTTTATTCATCTATTTCATCCCCTAACTTTCCCCGGTTTCATGCTAGCAGCCTATTCCAATTAGCTAACCAGAGAAAAAAGATGCTTCCAGGAGAAGCAAGGTTATTGCACACAACTCGTCTCCATTGAACTTTGACTCCCTGCTGTCTTAACTTGTTTGACTTGTTTGATATTGCAAAACGAAATCAGCCAAAAAAAAAAGAACAAGTCTTACCCCATTAACCAAATCAGCCACCCCAAATCATTATATCTTCTTAATATCCATTTATATGAAATTCCCCCAAAAAACCCCATTAGACTACTTCAATACAATCAATATTCAGTACTTCTAGGTTTCAAAAAAAATAAAATAAAAAAATCAAATTTGCTATACAAAATCCATTAGCCGTTTAATTCTAAGAGTTAATAGAGCAGAAACTTCATCTTCCATGGCATCAAATACAAATTTCCAAACACAAAAGCAAAAACTTTAAATTTAATTAACCCAAAACGATAATTCGTTGAATACCTTGAAGAGAATTTCGAGCAATCAGCTCAAGGAAGGGACATGCAAGATGAAATTGAGGCCGCCTGTGCCGCTATCAGCCACCACCGCCTTCAGCCACCACCGCCGGAGTGCCGCCTTCGTGATTTCTTTGCTTATTTTCCTCTTACAATTTTGGAGTATTTTTTTCGTTATTTTCGTCTCAAAATTTGAAGTATTTTTGGAGAATTGAAGTTATGAGATCTGAGAAGATGGGGAAAATGGTGAGAAATTGACAATGGGGAAAATGGAGAAAAAGGGGTATTGAAAGGTACTGTATGTCACTCTGTAAGTGAGAATTGAGAATAGAGGGACGAACGTGTTCAAACTATTTGGTGAAAAAAATAGAGGGAAGAAATGCGCGCTTATTCTATATTTTCATGATACAACACATGTCGTTGCAATAGCTCTCATTTATGTTAAAACAGCTAGGCTATTGCAACGGTTCTTTACAGCCGTGGCAATAGCTATACCTCTAAGAACATTAGTGTTAAATCCGTGGCAATAGCCTACTCTATTGCAACGGCAATTAGAATATCGTTGCATTAGCCTTTATTAGGCCGTTGCATTTGGTCAAAAATGTAGTAGTGATAGTTTGTAAATCTTAAAATTTTGATTTTCCTCTTATTCATACCTCATACAAACTATTCATAAAA